TTTGCAGGTTATTCGTTTAATGATAATAGTATACATTTCTGTGGTTAAAAAACTATTAAACAATCAAAAATAAATTATATTTTAACTCTACGTTGTTTTAACGTTACCTACTGCTCTTAAGTTTGTGAAAGGTTTAAATTGTCTAAGATCTCTTTCTCTGCATTTAAAATCATTAGTAAATTTAATAGTTTCTCATATGTAGTAGACTTCAGATAAATTGTAATTAATTTTAGTTTGCTGAATGTGTTCTCGTTCAATGCTACTGTAATTGACACAGTAATAGCCAAACAACATAGTAAATTTAACAATGGTTTTTAACTAATTCAGATTTCTGTAAAACTTAATTCAAGATTTAATTGAATTAAAATTGTCTTTATTGCACATTCTTAAAAGCATTTCACATTCTGATTGAACCACATTATGCAAAGTCAGATATTTTAGATCTAATACTTTCTGGAGGAAATAGCAAAAATGAATGTGTATATTTTATACCAAAAATATTGCTCGAATAAAATAACTTTTTTTTTTTTTTGTTGACTTTTAATCTAGTTCGTGAGTAAGTAGTTCATTTTTGATTTTCCTGGTAGTTTTTGTTATGATTGAGAAAAACTAGAGAATGTCGAAAAATGAATTTATTTTAAATTTGTGTGACTTATGTTTTTTACAAATAATATTTATTATTTTTAGTAGTATTTGTAGTTCTTATCACAGAGAGTAATGTAAAAAAAAAACAACAGAAATTGATAATCTTATTATTAACTATCTCAGTAGATATTGCAATGGGTATATGTTTTTGTGGGACACTCTATATATAATATTATAGTAATATTGAAGTCGTGCAAATACAATTCTCAACAAATATGACGATTATTTTTAGTTTTTATTAAATATCGAATTACCTATTTCAAAATTTATTGGAAAATTATTTGAAAATGCTTATAGTTTTAAATTGTACTGAGTAATTTTATGTTTATTGGGTATTATTTGCCAATTCTAATTTATACATACAAATTTGGGGGGTTATTCATCACCCCCACCTTCTAGGAACGTCCATGTATATGATATTATTATGGTTTTATAACATGATGATGAATACTGATGATAGTTAATCCATATATAAGATAAGAAAAACAACTGTGAAAATATGCAAACGCAAAGGTATGTAAATCATGTCTTCAGTCGTAATCACAGTGTTGTAAACATTGTTGATATAATTTCGTTATATTTTCTTAAACATTTAAAATTAAAAAAAGTACATTATGGAAAAATATATAAATAAAAGAACTCAACTTCCGTAACACTAGCTCCACCACGTCACCGTCTTTATCACCTAACCTTCTATTTCAAGTAATACAATAAAAATTAATGACGAAACAGCCGTAAAACGTCGTTAATATAATGACGACTATATTTAAATTTCGAATTTATACGAATTGGCGATGAAAGAAATCAAATACGTCAATGTATTGTGTGTGATGTAACTTTATCAAACGAGTTGATGGTACCAAACAAAAAATGACATTTAGGACAAAATCATGGTAATGGTAAACAAATTTCTAATTTCTGACTATTTTAAGCAATTATTGTCATCACAAAAAAAAACTCAACTTTTATGAAACATTTTTAAAAACACCGGATTAATCTATTTTGTGTACTATTAAAATCTCTGAGTTAATAACAATGAAAAAAAAAACATATACCAGAAGAATTAAATTAATTACATTTACATTGTGTTAAAAAAATACTACTTTCTATAAAAGTTTAATACAGTTATTATAGATGACATATTTTTCTAATATCGCCAAAAATACTACCATACCGTCATACTATCATTACATTATACAGACGTCATAATAATCAAAACAAATTAGAACATACAATATAACAGTTTTTCCGGGACCTTCAATCTAAGGTCCATCTGATACGTCACTACAACCAGTGTCTATAAATGGTATCTACTGCATATTAAGTATAGGTATTATGGTATCAAAAATAATTATGACAGTAAACATGAACTATAAACATGAACATTAATAGCTGCATGGGCAAAGGTCAAAGGGAAATTATTTAAAAATTATTCAATAATTATGGGCTATCACATTTAATTTATAACTTGAAAAAATGCAATGACTAGAAATAAAAAAAATATTTTTTCAAAGAACATCGGCCAAAGAAAATAAGCAGTCTGTTAATTGTAATTTTTGAATGAAATGTCATTGTTTAGGCCCTAAGAAAAAATGAGCTTTTTTAGAATTTACCAACGTTTTTAAAATTCCCCTGTGAACCAACTTACCTGCAATGTTTAGAAAAATAGCATAAATATTGCTTTTAGAAATGCTGTAAGAAAATGTTCGCAGCACATATGGTTATATTTATTGAACAGCTTATCGGTGAAAACTATTCGGTGAATATTTATCAGGTGTGTATAGTACTAAAAATATTATAACTACTTTAATATTATATACTACTATTCTACAAAGACCAGCCAATAATAATTGTGTTATAATAATTGTGTTAAACGATTTGGTGGCTATGCTGGTTATAATAATGCTGAGTTATTGTTTAAATTGGTCCTATAATATACTTAAATGGTATTATCGAGGCAAGTATGCAAAATCACGTTGTAATCATTCATACCTATTCGAATTAATAATGTGTATACATAAAACTAGTCTTTAGAGAAATTATTGATGAATATTATACAAAAGATCTACACTGAATTTTTTTGTTAGCGTTCGCTCGGATCAAATTAAAATCGATTTTTACATACACTAATACTGAATGGTGAAATAAAGAGTCGATTAATATTTGAGTTCTAGCTAATTTTGAGTGTATTATACTATTAATTACTAAAATGTATCGGAATATCTGTTATCGGAGTTTTTTTTTAAACCAGTACATGGAGAAAAATTGTTTTAAAGTATTCGAAGAATATGAAAAAAAAAATCGGATTTACGACCGATTTTTCGGTAAACTTCAATATCAACGTATAGTATTCAATTTCAAACATCGGAATCGTTGTCGTTTTTATATCGGTAGTAAATGTTACAAAAAAAGGCTGTTCACCAATTAAAAATGCTCCGGATTTTTCCTGCGACCATACTTTATTTGAATTTTGAACAAATTAGTCCAATGATTTTTCTAAAAAGTTAAAACACGCAATAACTAATACAAATGAAAATACATTGGTTATAATTTTTTTTTTTTATGTAAAACCTTACCAGATTACAGACCTCTAAGAATCGTTTTTAAATTGCAAAGATTTATCGTTGCATACAATATATTACTTTGTGGTAAAAGCTGGGGGGAGGCATCATCCTTTTAAAATGCGTCACTGAATAATACCAAATGAGTAAGCCAACATGTACAATATTTAGGGGAGAGATAGTGAATACCGGTCGTTTAAAGGAAATATAGTCTAATATCTTACTAATTATATATTTTTTTTTATCTGTGCGCAACTTTACTACGAGAAAACTTGCTCCGGTTTTAAGTGTAACACATTTTCTGTAAGGAAATCGGTGTGGGGAGGTACTTTAGGAGGTTAATTTTTCGATTTTTTTAGGAGTTTTCTCATAAAATTTGAAAAACCGAAAAAAACAGTAAAATGTACGAAATATTTTACTAAAATATTACGATTTTTTTTTTTCTGTGCACAACTTTTCTACCAGCAATTCCAGTCAAATTTATAATGATAGCAAAGTTTCAAAAAGTAAATCCGACTGAGGAGGCAATTATTAGAGAGGTCATTTTTCAAATTTCGCAGGAGTTTTCTTATCAAATAGCTTTTTCTCTCCACTCAAAATCTAAAACATATTATGTTTAGAAATAATATGAAGTTTTAAATCGACGGTAAAAACCGGCCATACGTGTAATTTTGAAAACTATTGGTATTGACAGACTAAAATTAATTTTTAATTTCTTTGTATCTCGAAAAATAAATCAACAAAGAGTTTTATTACTGCAAACACTTTCAACTAAACAACATTTAGTTTACAATAGGTTGGCAATGAACTTAATATGGGTGAAATAAACATAAAACACTTACCAAATACTTTCATCGAAGAACAGATATTATTACACAAACGTCTAAAGAATTCGAACAAGATTCCGTTCGCTTGGTAATAATGAGTATTGGCCGTAAAAATGGCGGGCACTACAATTTATTTTGGGTTATCGTAGAATGATAAACCATATGCCTGATAAAGCCATAGAAATATAAACCAAGTGTATAATGGGCTTAATGGATAAAACGGATTTGTATCAAGCAATATTAATCTCGCCGCTGTGTACCGCCCGATACGATACGACACACTAAGAATAAAATGAATTAATTTTAATTACAGAAGGGATCCGTCAACAGTGTCAACTATCCACTAGGTACGTCCAAATGTGAATACGTGCATTGTATAATAATATTATCGGTGCGATAATGACTTTCAATTGTACGTTTGATAATATTCAATTATGTATACGTATAGGCGGGTAAAACCTATGTAAAACAAATATCAACGGTGAACAACGATCGAGGTAGCGCACACGCCGTGACGTGCACAATACCCGCGCGAGTACGGTCGAATAAGGGGGGTACCTACGAATACCGTTGTGATTCCACTGTTTTAAACACTTTTTTTTTTATATTTTTGTTAATTATACGTTTGATGCGGGTACTCACCTACCTACCTGCCGACAATAACAATGCGCCTACCGTACCTACATGTAGGTACCGGACAATAGTCTGCTGTAGCGTGAGCACGAGAGAACCGTACCCGTAACGCAGGTTCGGGAGTCGCAGAGTGACAACGATCGTGGTCCGTGGATCAAGTTCTATTTTCTCGCCGGCAGTCGGCACGCCGCGCGCGAAACCATAGTACGCGACGGACGCGGGTGGTGGTCTCCTGCGTGAGAAAGCGTCCGGGGGTATCCACCCGCTGCTCGGCGGCGCAACATATTACCGCCACCACTGCGCCGCACCGTTGTAGCCATCGTTGCACCGCCGCAACGACCGCAACAGCCGTTATTTATCGTGCCGGCTGGTAACACTGTGCGCGTTACGTTTTCTCGTACGTTTGGGGAATTTTATAACGCTACTATCACTTTATTGCCCGTCCCACGTCTGTTGCACTGTAAATTCCACTCCGCGGCCGGTTTGTTACGTTAGTCTCGTCGTTACTTTCGGCCGGAGTTGTGTTTTCTTGCGTCCCGTACGGCTTCAGTGAATATTTTGTTTTCAGTATTTTTTACTATTTCATTTTCTCATCGAAGTTCATTCGTAAATGTCCAAGTATTTAATAATTTAAAAAAAAAAAAAAATCGATTTCAGTGCAGCGTGCGGGTGCATGTCGGTTTCGCCGCAAGTTCGACGTCGTATTGTCACCGAGAATTTCTGTAAGTGTTTGAACAAATCATTTTCAAAAAAATACTATCCCGAATTCCGTTTGGTACTGTGCTACGGCTAATGAGAGAAAAATCTATCGTTTTTATATTGTTTGTGGTTACCCCTATAGGCCTGTTAATTGTTTGGTTAATTTTAACAAATGACGTAACACACTATAAATTCCTTACGTTTTAAAAATAAATCGGTTTCATATTTCAACACGTACCTACAACCGGCTTTTGGATTTGTCTAATCTAATCGGATGATAAATCCCTAGGACCTAAGTCCCATTTTTGAGTTTAGATTCTTTTCGACATTTATTTAACTGCACGTAATGCAGTGAATAATAATATCATCTACCTAGGTATACCTAGGTACATTTAATTATTTTGTACTGTGTACTTAATGTACTTACTGTACTTAATACTGTCGTTGAAAGCAAATATTACATTTGTATTCAATTTCTACTAGATACAAGTCACACACACATATATATATTATGCACACTCAAATTTGCAGTGTCAATTTGTCAAAATATTACCTGTCTGGTCACTATTTATTTTAGTTATTGGTTGGTACACTAATTAAAAAATAACTCATTCATAATAATAATAATTTTTATATTGATATCTCTGTGTAAAATAATAACATTTTCTGAAACATGTTTTGTTCTACTCTAGTTGAATAATTTTGGTTTGTTTTAATTGGTTTGTTCAATTTTAAATGTTATTAGGCATTTATGGAAATTTATTAGTAGGGTTTAATTAAATATAGCTGTAGATTCTTTTATTTTATGAATATTGCAATTAGATAGGATGTTTTAAACTTTTTAATATTTGGAAAATATGCTTAGTATTGTTCGGGGTAAAATGTAACTGTAATGTCAGTATTGAACTCTTGAATGTATCTAAATATTAGCAACTAAAGTAGCATTATATTTTGATTGATAAACCTAATAGATTATATTATTTTTGAAAACTATCATTAAAATCACTTTATAATATTGGTAGATAGATTCTTCTGGTAGATAGATGTCGGTATTTATCTGGTGGTCCGAATATGATCGTGTTTTATAGCAAGAGATATGTATTAAGGAGTTCATATTTAATTTATAATTATTATTATACTAAGTTATTAGAAATATTTTAATTGTATCTAGATACTTATATAGATACATTTTATTCAAAGTTTTATACATATAAACACATTTAATTTGGTTTTCTTGCGTAGAATCAGAAAAGTTTTGTTGACATAATTTATTGTTTCTATTTAAAATAATAAATAATATAATTCCGAAATCAAAATGTTTGTAGAATAAGTAGTTAAGTATTTAATTTTGTATATATTGATAACATGTTAATCAGTGAAATACAAAAGTAATTTGCTGTAGAGTAACAGATGGGTAAAAAATACCAATTTCCCTTGAATGGGTAATACTACTAAGTAAAATAAATAATTAAATGTATACTTAATACATTTATAAAACTATCCCATTTTATTAATGATTTGATCATTATTAATTTTATTTTACAATGTTTATTTATAGATATATTATTTACTTAATTAAATTTTTAAATTTTATTGTATTTGTCGCTTTTAATATAATATGTATTTACTCAACAATAATGTCAGCCTAGTTGTAACTTTATTAACACAAGGAGATTGTTATTTCCTTGTCGTCAATTTAATTGATAGAACCCAATTTACATTTAGTTTTAGAAGCGTATAATGTTATTAAATTAGTTATAATATTTAAACACTCAATTTAGTTAATTTTACATTGATTTATGATTATCAAGTACTTAATAATTTCCAATAATATTTCATTGCTTATACTTGTACATATAATAAAATGTTTTATGTTCTGTCATGAATTAAATTGATTTAAAATTGGACAATTCAAAAGAAAATTGTCTACAGTATTACATGTCTTATCTAAGAAGTTATTGCCTATAATTTTTGGAGTATTTACTGTCTAGTTTGATGCTTTAAAACAGAGTTTAAAATTATTTTATTTTTTGTTTATTATTTTCCAATAAGGTTATTGTTGTAAAACTAATTAGTGATAATCTTAACCTCATACCTAACTAATAAGGCTAAATAGGATATTATAATATTAGGTTTGTATATAGATTTTTCATTTTAGGATAGTTGTGTTTTTTCTGCATTTTTTCTTTTTTAATAATCTATACATTTAAATATCTTTGTGAGATTTTAACAAACTCTCGGTATTCTTCTATCAGTTTTCAAAAGAATCAGTAGTTCAAACATACAAATAAATATGATACCTATTTATATGTTTAAGTGTTAAAGATTTCTTTTTATATGTGGTTTAAATTATTATTATTATGATTATTCTTGTTCATAACATTTATTACCTTTAAAATCATCACGAAATTTACCCTTTAAAGGGGTAAGTTAAATTTCTGAATCTACTACTAACTGAAACATATAACAGTTATTCAGAATTTACACATTTTTAGTAAATAGATACCCAATTATTTTGTTCTATTTTTCTGTCTATCACCCAATACTCCAAAGCATATAACATAATCTCACCATACTTCTTAAACATTACCTTTAAGTCTGATTGGAATTCTCTTGTCACCTATAACACCTGATGCTTCTCTCCACTTAACCCAACTATACTTAATTTTATGTTTTGCATTTTCGTCAAAGGATTATAATTCTGGCGAGTATTTTTGTGCAAAGGATCCTAGGTACTTAAAACTTTGAACGTTGCTTATTGTGTCACTGTTTAATGTTTATTGTTATAAGCTGTCTTATCCTGTTCCTCCAAATTTATTCTCTGTTTTACTTCTACTTATCCTTAGTCCCTTTCTATCGAGTGCGCTATACTCTCCATTTGTTGCCCATTACTAACTTGCTATTCATATTTCTCCTTTCAAAGTTATATTATCTGCAAGCTTCTGCTAGGTCAAACAATAAGTCTATAATAAGTTCCTAATTAATATTTTTAATATCTAACAATTTGTATTGTTACCTAAGTAATATTTGTGTAAATCAAATAATAGTACCTATTGATGGGCAACAGAAATAGCGAGGAACGCGCAAGGTATTCTGTATTTCTATACAAATAGAAACGAAAAAGTGATTACATTAAAAAAAATGTACTTTCCTATTACAGTTAGACTAGGTAGGCACCTTTTTCATTTACATTAAGTGCACACGAACAAACACTAAGATCATTGAGGCAGAACATTACAGTAGAATTAACCCCGAGAGTACCGAGTTCCCATAAAAGAAAATAAGGCACTATACGAAATGATATTGCAGACGATTGAAAATAATTTCTGAGAATATTGTAAAATAAGCGTGAAGGGCCAAGTAAATAATATAGTAAATATTTTATCCCGTTGCCCAATTTTCTAAATTTGTATTACCTATCTATAAAACATTATCATAATTCTCGTTTTAAAATTGGGTTATCTGTAGATATAAGAAAAGACAAGGAAAAATGAGACACAACAAGTTATTTTAGTATTCTAAATATGTATAATAATATAGTAGGCACGATCATTTATGTGCTTAAATATTATAAAAACCCAAAAGTATTCGTATAACATGTATCTTTTTATGTACCATTTTTTTTTTTTTTTTGCGTCTTTGATTGTTGCTTTTTTTACTTGTTATCAAAATTATCACCTTGACGACTGTCCACAAATACGTTTATTTTTAAGCATACGTAACAAAAAACTTCTTAATTTAAATTTTGGTAAATAAATCATAATATGTCAATTTGAAATATTTGCGAATCGTACCTAGTTGTAAACTAAACTTTATATTTGTCACTCAAAGTATGCATAGGTGCAGTAGCGTATCAATATGGTGGCATGACGGCAATGAGTCACGGGCCCATGACATCTATCTTCCCAAAACAGGAACCAAGGCATTATACGGGAGTACAAAAAAAAAGAAAACATGCAACGATGTTTATTTTATTTTACTCCAATCCGTGTAAATTGAGCCCCAACTCGGATTATGCACTTGGCCCACAATTGGTTGGTTTAATCTAGAATATTTTGCCACGGGTATTTAGAAGTTATACTTACGCCACTGCCTTGGTGTTTAATTATTTTAATTGTGTTATAAATATCGACTTATTTTTGGACAATTTGTTGCTTCTTATCTTATATTTTATAGCTAGAATACAAATTATAAAATAATAAGAAATCATTAAGTTTAATAGTTATATTCTTTTTGTCTGTTCTATTTTTCCGCAGCATAAATTTTATGTTTAATATTTAAGTTTCATACTTTTGTTGGAACAATAATAATTATCAAAATATTCTATTTCAAATTCTATTAACCTATAATACCAATAATTTTGATTGTAAGTTTTTAAGTAGATATTAAATTTTGATTCAATAAAACCTAATATTTATGGCTGCTTTAAAAATGTTGAGTAAAATTTATTCAAACGACATAAATAATAAACAGAAATAGGTACCTAATTAAAAAAATTCACCACACAAACAATATTTGTCCGATCGGAAATCGAGTTTGTGGAATAAAAGAAAGCTTCGTTTTTAGAAATAAAAACAATGACTTATTCCTTTCACAAGTGTTAAATAATATTGTTTATTGTTACGATTACTTTCATAGAAGTACATTATTACGATATATATAATGGTTCAATTGTTAAATGGTAATTTTATTGTTTCAGAGTGTATGATAATGTTTGTACCCATTAATATTGTACTCAAATATTATGATTTCCTATTACTCGTACATTAATATAATTGGAAACTAATATTGTACTTATTTATTTTTTTTTATTATCAAAAAGACATAGGTACACAATATTATTTGACTTGAAATATTCCATCAATAATGATGAATATAAATTTGTGTAGTGTTTTTAATTTTTAATCAATATTTTTACATCGATCGTTAACAGTAGTTTTAATATTTTTTTGAACTTCTGACCCATGAAATTCCTACCTATTCTTTGAGCTAAATCGATCTAACATCATGGTAGAAGACACATTAATTGATATTGATATTATTATTTTTTCGTTCATGTTGACTTACATGTTTTAGTTCTTACAATATCCACAGAGTACCTACCAAATAAAAATTACGTAAAAAACTCGCAAAATTAAAATGTCTGTTAATAGCTTAAAAATAGATAAAATGTTTTGAAAATTTTACCACGTCTAGAAAAGGAAAATATAAGTTTTCTGTCCAAATTTCAAATCTATGAATATTCTTAACTGAATTACAAAAAAAAAAAACAAACTTATAAATAATACATTTCGCAAATGTTTTCGTTTTTCCGGAACAAAATTTCTGGTAGTAAAGTTGTTCACGGATAAAAAAATGTAAAATAAGAGCTGATGTGTGTGACATTATTGCAGGTCAGAAATTGTAATGATGAGATATATACAGGGTGATCAATCTATCATAAGACACTTATTATCTCGAAAAGTATTATCTTTTTTCGAAATTTGTTTTATAGAAAATTTTGTAAACAAGTAGCTGTGCAATTTTAAATATATGTTATTTTTTATCATCCTAATGATTAGGAGTGAAATGACTACCTACTTTTGACTTACAAATGGGAACCTATATTAAAAATTCCATAAATGAATGTAGTAGTAGTTAAAATAAATTTTGGTTTTTAAATTTTAAATTTCCGTTAATTCATTGACGAGATATTCGGCTTTTAAGTTTGGATCGGGAAAGAGTAATGGTACATTGTTAAAACTCCGCGCGCTGTGCCGCCACACAAATGCTCCATTACTCTCCTCTCACCCAAACTTAAAAGCGGAATATCTCATCAACGAATTGACGGAAATTAAAAATTTAAACACCAAAATTTATTTTAACTATTACTCCATTTATTTATGGAATTTTGAATATAGGTTGCTATTTGAAAATCAAAAGTAAACAGTCGTTTCACCCCCAAAAATTAAGATGGCAAAAAATAATGTAAATGCTTAATTTTAGAACAGCTTGTTTCTTAAATGTTCTTTAAAACAAATTTTGACAAAAGTTTCCGAGATAATGAGTGATTTATGATAGATTGATCACCCTGTATGTATGGAGTAATTTAATTTATACGCAGTGGTAGATTATTATTGACGGAAAACGATTCTGAACAATATTCTGTTAAATATATTTTAAAACTGTGATTTTTAAGAATTTCACAAACATTTAAACTTATTATTCTTATAAAAAAACTTGGTACCACATACTACGAGCGATTTTACTAGGAACAATTATTTATGATAAACCTCATGTAAAATTTTTGAGCATTTTTGCTGTACGAAAACAACTTTATCCACATAAAACCATATAAAAACTTGAAAATATCAAAACGACTATAAATAATTCGAAAATCGACAGAATGTTTTGAAAGTTTTATTATATCTAGAAAAACTAAGAAGGTTACAAGTATTCGGTGAAATTTTCAGGTCTACTATTATTTGTTTACTGAATCGTAAAAAAATAAAATAAAAATAATATATACCGTTATTGCGTACGTTTTCCCAATCATTAAGAAAAATACTAGGAAAATTCAAAAGATGACCTTCCTGATGCATCTAATCAACCCTGAAGTTAATGATCGTAGCAACATTTCTGGTAAAAAAGTTATTTGCAGACTCATCAACAAATACATCTTAATAAAATCGATACATTCCTCGCTACGCTCGGCATTTTAATTTGTGGTATAAAATATCATATACCAAACATAATATATTATTAATAACATCGGCCCACATCATAAATTACATAATTAAAATTTTCATTATATCAGAGGTAATATTAAATCTTTTATCAATTAATTCTGTTTTTGCTTCATAAAAGAAACCCACATGATGCTAATGAGAGTACCTTCTCATTCGAGAATTTAACTATAGTTAAAATTCAATGTAATCATTAACTAAAAAAATATGAGAAAAATCAAAATTTTTATGGACGTCACTAATTTATCAGCAATATTGTATTTGTGCAATATACCTATTCATTCAGTAACTAAAATAATACTTAGATATCGTAATACTATATTACGTTTATACGTTAGTGTGAGTATTTGGCTATTTTTTACATTTTAAGCATAATTTTTAATATTGGTATAATAATAATAATAATAATTAATAATGCAAAATCGTAAATTTGTCCATTGTTCGTTTGAGAAAAAATTATATTCTTTATGTTTCTCTTGCTATAACATTGACCCCAGTGAGGATGGAAGAAAAACCGGTTCGCGATGCAGGTTTTGTCTGTAAAGTATATATTGTAACTTGTGCGTTTCTGGTTGAAAATATTATCGTGGCACATATAGACAGTGGTCACTGAAGTTGTAAAACAGTGGAACGTATAAAATATTATAAACGAAGTACCGTTTTTAGTTTTAACTTTTATAGATAAGTGTATAATCAATAATGCGATGTTAGACAAGTATATTCTAGTATTTTATACCTAGATAATAGTTTTGAACTATATTTTGTTCTTTTGTACGTTTTACTAAAAATTCAATTTTTTTGTTCATACGAACGTAGACAAAGTTAATATTAATTTAAAGACGTTATTTGTGTGTTCGGTCCGTTCCTTGAAATTTTAATGACCATATCATGTCCTTCGATACAGATTTTTGTTGTATCTATATAGCCTTGTTAGTTGTCCATATGATAATAAACCTTTACAATATTTAAATCAAATGTTTAATCACGAACAGATAATAAATTTAATTTTTTTTTACGAGAGTTAAACATTTACCGGTACAGCTAGACATTAATATTGTTTATACTCGCTTGTTCTTCAATAGTAAATGTATGAAGTCATGTGCGTTAATTAATCGTGAATCGGATAATATATTTGTAAGGACTTGAGTGTTTGATTTTCGAGTATTTCGAACAGTTATTTTTCAAAATTACGTATGCAATATATCCGTTGGGTATTTTTTTTATATATTTTTGAACTTGAATGATTATGATAATATATATACATATATATATTATATTTATTGTATACATTGTAATCACTTATTTACTGTAATAAATACCAGTCACTAAGCTGAAAAATAACGTATTAGGTTACTTAATAATATGATTTTAAATGGTATTTACGAATTTAAAAAAAAAAACCTAGAGAATCGCATGTCCAATATTGAATAGCTGCGAGTTTTACTACCAAGACATACGACCAACGTGCCGCTCGGATGACGTTGACCGTTAGTGCTCCTGATGCTGAAGGTCAGTCGTCGTTTTGTGTTATGACGATGTATATATCACGATTAACTTTTAAATTATTGGGCTTGCGATCATTTCACGAGCTAATATCATTCAAAAAAAAAAAACGAATCATAAGATATACTAATTGTGTGTTTGTGTATACCTTTGAATTTTTTTATTATACATAATTTTGAAAATGTATTTTTCTTACCGTTATTTTACGCTTATTACTTTGGTTACGATCACTTAAAAAATATGGTGGACATTTTTTTTTTGTCTGTATTATTATTTCCATATACTATCTGTCATCCGTATATTGTATTTTTGTTAATCATTTGAAATATTATCGTAAAGTAGTAGCGTTGTGTTATTTACTATTTTTCTTTACCATGTTAAACTGTTAATGAACCCGAGTATTGGTTTCTCATCTAGGTTTTAGAAATTGAGACAGAAATATAGTAGTGATTTGTACACAGCCGTATGGCGTTATATAATAGCCGGTCTAGAATCGTATTATTAACCGACTTCATTTCAAAAATACAGGAGGTTATAGTAGACAATTAATTGGCCTTGGCTCCATACAATGCATATTTTGTTGTTACGAATTACTTAGTAGACATTATTTTATTCAAATCGTATGATCTAGTATGACGAAATAAAACATGATTGTGTTTTAAAATTAAATTGGAGTTTTGTAGTTGATACTTTGTTGATGATACTATAAATAATAAACTTGTGGCATTCCGTATCTTCTTCATCCCCGCCTTTATACATCAATATCAGACAACTTCGATACACGCACTAGTGGTTTTTTTCATACCTAACTATTTAAACAAGGTAACCTAACCTAACCATCGACGGTGTTGGCGCAGTGTAACACATATTGATATTTTTCCTACAAGATGTGTTATTACTTAGACATTATCATAATATTATCAATATTAAAACATCACAGACTATGGTCGGTGAGATTAAATATAACTATTATTATCCTACTACCGTGGTTATGAGTAATTATTTATTAGAGATTTTTAGTATTTGATTAAATATTTTAAATAATTTTTGCTTTAATTTTTTTAAGTGTCATACAAAATACAACGTAGCTTTAATAATATTTATACATTTTAAATATCCAGCCATCATAGTTCAAGATAATGAACAATATTTAAAAAATTCCAATAATCTTATGGGCAGGTATATTATATGCCACTGCCGTCGGTTACCTCGTTTGAAGATAAACCATGGTTCACATTTCGGATGCCAACGGAGATTCCTATTTAAACATTTAAAAAAATAATAAAACGTTTATAATCAATAATGAAAAATTGATAAGTTGGTACCAACTTAGAAACAAATAAAATTGTTTTTCAGGAATGTATAATCTTCTAATTTATTATAATTTAATAAAACGAACATTAATAATATCTAATTAATACACATATACAAAAAAATATATGTAAAGTATAATACACGTTATCGATAAAAAACAATTATAAAAAGTTAATTAAAACTAAATCCACAACGGCGAAGTAGTTCATAAATTTAAAATATTTGAAATATTTCAGACAAAAAATCTAACAAACATATTTATTATTATTATTATTATTTTTTTATGACCACTATATAATATTTCAGGTACCCAGTTTCAAATACTTATTACCTTTTTTTATGTGTACCGAACTGATCGGTCGAAATGTACTTAAATTCTGAACTTCTATTTTACAACGAATAACGGTATAATTATGACATTTGGGCAGTATAGGTATAACTATATACAATCGTACGTAGACACTGTACACGGCAAATAGAGTATTTAAACACGGTTACCTTCTGCATTGGTAATATTATAAGCATTTCGCTTATGCAATGTACCAATATGTAGTTTAGCTTCAAAGAGATTGTGTATATATAATATATAACAAATATAAATGTATAGTTTTAAACGAAAAAGGCCAATTTAATCAGCATTATTCAATTAAGAATTTTGAGTCATGCAAACTATAGTTTGTGATTTTACACATACCGCGCCTTACGTTATTTTCATGTAGATCACGAATACGAATGAGTTTTTGTAGCGTGATTGTCAAAGTTTAGTTCCCTTAACGTGAAAAATAATATTGTTGCTCTAAAATTCTAATTTTTGTTATAATATCATGAACAAATAATATATGAGTATAATACTCTTATTTTAGGGTTGTATCCCCGAAAGTAATATAAATATTGCATTATTATGCATAGCAATGATTAATACATATTTAATTGGTGGTTTTCTCTTTTTCTCATATAAAAAGATTGGTTGGCAGCCTCCTGGAGTTCTCCATTTGTCGTGCTTCTCTGCTTTTATTCTTAAATTCGTGCTGTTTCTCGACCTAAATCTTTAATTATACTTAGCTCAGACATTCGAGTGGTCTCCCTCGGATATTTTTTCCTTCTATGGATCCTTCTATTATAATATTTCCTAGTAGATTGTTATGATGAAATGTATGTCCATTTAAGTTAAGCTGTTCTAATCTTCAGGGTTTAAATGACCCTTCTTTATTCTCCTGCTCTGCGGAATATTTCTTAATTTGGTATATAATCCACCTAAATTATTTTAAGAATTATAAGAATTTTTCTATAGCCGTGAATTTGAATAATTTTTTTTCTTCAGCCTTCCTTTTTGTCCACGACTCACTCCTATAAAGTGTGAAATAATCAACGATCTAGGATACTACCAAAAAGATAATTTATTTGTTTTTTAAAACATTCAGTTATTTATTATATGAAAACATATTTAATTTGTCTTCGAAATTTAATCTTTTGATTATTACAGCTAATTATTATGGCTTTTAGTTTTCAAATAACAACCTGCATGCAGGTCATTTAAATGTTAAACTCTTAGAGTTTTTTTTTTTTTTAAATTTAAAATTACTGATTCTATGTTATACTTGTTCTGGTTAGAACATAATAGTATTTACTTTACCTTTCTGTACCTGTGGTCTTACTTCGTTAGATTTATACGCAAATTAAATAGGTATCGCATCTTTTAAACATATTTGCCATTTGCTTTGAACGCTAAAACAATTTTCGATAATAGTATATTCCTAACGTACAATATAATATGTTTTTCATTTTGATAATATATGGCTGTAATTATATTTGAATTCAAAATGAAGTAAAATTATTCTCGTCACACGAACAGCCAGTATATTTATTGATGGCTGCGGAGTGTGCAAAGTATTTTTTTTATATTTTCGATGTTACAACGTTAATTGACCATGTACATGTCTATGCATTTTAAGGATGGATTATAATTTTATTATAAGGATATAATATATCAATGTAAGTATGGCATGCAATAATGTTATAAGTTCCTAGAAGAAATAAACGTTAAAACACGTAGAAAAACTGTTTCACATTATAGATGTCAGTCTATAGATAGTTTTATTATTAAATTATCTATTTAAAGTTCGGTGGGATAAATGGAGGAGGGTATTTATGTAAATATATAAGTTATTCACAACCCTTTATGTTCTTCTGGCCTATTTTTAGATTCTGAGTTGAGCAAGGAATTGGTTTTATTATGATGTTTATTAATTTTATTTTTTTCTATGATCAATTTTTCTACCAGAATTTTTTTTCTAATTTTCAAGTGTAGTGTTTTTTCCGAAATTTGATTGAGGTGGGTGGTACTTGCCATTTTTTGATTTTTTTAGGGGTTTTAATAATAAATGGGAAAAAATTTAGGAGAACGAGAAAATTTACGAAATTTATTATTTTTAAATCGTAAATATTATACGGCCTTTCAAAACATGTGACCTAAAACAGTGGCATAACCTAACCCATCGTGTCAACAAAACTTTTTAAAAGTATTTTCCTCACATTTATTGATTTATGTTTGTTAATATATTTTGTCTATGTTTTTAATATATTACACGGTATAGTTTTTTTTTTCGTTTAGATAGTATTTTTTGGTGGTAATTTTCTTATATAACTCATTTTTTCGATGCGAATATACTCTAACTTCTGTAAACTGTCCGTTACTTGTGAAACTATCAATACGTAATATATTTGAAAGCGGCATTCATCATTAATAAAATGTTGGTCATTTAAACTAATTAAGACGAGTAATAATTTATTATTAATGATTTGACATCTATTTCATAAATTTAGCAATTTATCTAATTTATATATTATTTAAAATATATTTTTCTTTTTGTAAATCTTAGTCATAGCGTAAAATATAGTCTTGACCTTTACTCGTAGTCAAATATTATTTTGGTTCTTGGCTTAAACCGAGTTCAAGGATTCTTCATACACGTTTTGAAACATGTACAAATCGGAAGTTATTTTTCTTTTAACGTTAATTTTGTATCATTTTTTTTTGTATTCAGTACTTAATACATTTTTGTATTATGAAATATATTCTGAAAACCTAATTGTTTATTAATATATATTTATCATTGCATTTTTAATTACAGTTTTGATAATTTCGTATTAATTTATGCTTGATTTTATTAAGACGGTTTTGAGTGTTACGAATATACATTCGAAGTATATACTTATCATGAACCTCGGTTTTATGTCACTTATAAGTACAATTGAACATTAAAAAATATGAAATGCGAACAATTTATAAGATCGGATAAACATGTAGATTATTGAACGCAGACACTTTGTAGTTGTTACTACTATATACATACAAACATACGTGTGTAGTATAAAATATATACACAAACAAGTCACGTAAAATTATATTAACAATGTTGTAAAGTTTAATGGGATATTAACAATATTTGATACTTTATCGTAGGCGTAAATTGCCCAATTATTTTGGGGTCGTTTAACACCGCAAATATTGAATATGTATATTTAGTATTTACTTGATAAGGACTTGATTTGGAGGCTCAGGTGAGTTTTTTTGGGAGGGCTTAATTCCCACTCCTATTTGAGCATAATATGCATCTTAAATTCCAAATACGAGGAAATTACGAAGATTTCGTTTATCATTGAAATAAATTTCACTACGATATTTTAGACGACTACTGTAATGATAACAATAATTTCACTTAAATTGAGATCAAAACTCGCCAAAGAGGTGATTTTGATTATACCGTGCTATGGACAAATTTAAAAGATATACGTTGGAATTTGGAAATATTCAAAGACTACGTTTAAGGGAAATTATAAACAAATACCGATAAATTTAAGGTGAATAAAAACAAATTATTAAATGTATGTAACTAATACGAAAAAAAAAAAACCAATTTCGAACTTTTAAATTAAATTTATTTTGCTTTTAGTTTTTAATTATATATTTTAGATTCGGAGCGTAGGATTTATTTCAGGTTTTACTGTGGTTTTAAATATTTGTCATACGCCGTAACTTTATAGTTTATACATATATATTATTTATTTCATTAAAATGTATAGTAACATAATATGTAAGTATAATAATATGTTTATATTATGCACATTATAGTATTAAGTGTCCACATTCTGCAATCTACATTTATACTCGACCGTGTATAGTATGCGCGTTTTGCATTTTATAAACAATGAACCGTACAAAGTGATCCTGCAATTTACCCTGCAGCCTACCCCAAAACTACCACCTTCTCGTGCTCTCAAAATGATAGTTTTTTTTTTTTTTAAACATATGTTTTTATACATTTTTGGAAATTAAGGTAATAAGGACTGAAATTTAAGAAAAAATGGTCTAGTTGATCTCGTGTCGAATCTGTTTTCATAACTCTTATCGCTTGATTACATCGATCGATTGTTTGAAATCGTTATGCTGCGTGTATATGTTGTATGTGTTAGACAAAAAATGATACGGGAATCTCCGTTCCGTTTCGAATCCCCCTAATAACGATATATACCGACTTTTTTTAGTAAAAAAACTTTTACATTTTTTTATTGTGGTACTTAAGTGTTTAAATCGTTTTGAATTACGTTAGATAGTCATTTATTTTTTAAGTTCCGTATATTTGTTGTTCTAGTACTTAGACAAATTGTTTTAAAAGTCATGTTGGGAATTGTTTGTTGGAACGTGAAATAATTATTTCGTGCTTGATAATATTTATGTGCGTTTTAAAAGTATTTTTAATAAAAAAACAAAAAAACATACCTAATAAATAAACTGTCTTTTTCTTGAAATAATATTTGTGGTTTATGTACCTATTAATAGAACTAGATAAGTAAAGCTAAAAAATAAAATGTTGCATAGCTTCATAATGAACTGTGAAACTCGGTTGGCATCAATCCACCTAAGACTACATAACCTAACATATATTTAATTCTCGACCATATTTTATAAATTGCATATTATTCTTCTCAATATTTTTACTTAAAAAATAAATTAACAGAAATGTTCAGTAAAAATTAAATGAAATATATATTATTTGAATTGTACAGAGCACGTTCCGTATTTGGCTATACTACTGTGAAAATAAGATTAAAATAACTCTAGATATATAAATGTGCCAACTTAACGGTTTTAGTTTATCAAAATACTCTTCGTTTGTGTATTCAAATAGCTTTTTCAACTGATCTTTAAATTTGTAATATTATTTTATTAACACATTAGTTATTGATTTTTTTTTTCCAAATATTATATTATAAATGATAGAACGGTATAACGAGTATTATTATAAAATAGCAGTAATTGTCCGTACCAAAATAAAAAAAAAAAAAAATTATTATTGTTCTCACGAATTTTACACGTAGTGGTTTAATTCATTAAAAGACAGTTGTTATCACGTCATATTATTCGAAGACATTCTTCTTTACTTATTGTTTATAACTTTTTGTTTTTATGTTCTCGAAATAAATAAGGAAAATTACGCACACGGCTGAGGTATGTTAATGGTTTTCTACACGAGTAAAATATAAAATACAACTCGTTGCATATTTCGTAGGTGTACTTGATAAAATTTCTCGTAATTAAAATCTACTAATTTAGTACCGTTGTTATCGATACGATGTACTATTTATTAAAATTATATGTTTTAAAACAAGAAAAAAAATGATCAAATTTAATTTTGAATTATTTATATTGAAAACGGTAGGTATCTGCGAGTGTCTGGAAACAAAAACTATCGCAATCAGCGGTAGATACATGGGGAAGGAGGGCGATTGACTCTCCCCTCGTTCGCTCCAAAATATATTTATAGCCCCCATATAATATCTGATTTTTATTATAAATGTGTGTCTCATATATTATGAGTTTTTAAAATCGTCACCCCTCCCCCCCTCTTTTATCGTCTTGGATCCGCCCCTGATACATGAATTATGTAAATGTATTTTGCATTTAACTATTCATTCGTTTCGTTGTTTTGTTTTTTTTTTTATTTCTTTAGTAAAAAAAATATATACATAAATATATATATTTCCATTAACTCCATAACTATAATACATAACTTACCAATATTTTGTTTATATTGTGCCAAAAGTCTTGAAAACGTAATAATATTTTAAAGTCAAACAATATTTATAAAATATTATGTTATATTTTTCGTGAAATCGGTTTGATTTATGTATTTTTCTTTTTTAAAACATTATTTTTTTGTACAAAGTATAAATATAATCTAAAAGGGTGTTCTACGTCGCCGCGGTACGATTCAGTAGCAATATGTTTATTCTAAAAATCACGTTCTTTACCGAGAAATTCGATACCATTCTTTTTTAGAGCTGTCCTAAATAATACGTGCATTTTATAGGTTTCATTCTTTGAATTTGTGTAATTTGTGTTGTACGATTTTCTTTTATTCGTCGCGAGTATAGGTTATATAAGTAATAATTTCGTTTTTAACCGAAATCGCATTAATTTTCGTCAACGTAAACCAAAATAAATATTGCGCGTAATGTAGGCGTAATATGTACCGCGGATCTATTGATCAATAAAATACAACCAGAGACTTGTTCGTTGAAAAGTATAATCATTCCGCGGACTGTTGTTGGACCGGAGAGTATAAAAAAATTAATCTCTATTTATGCGTGTGCACACAATTCACATATATACGTGCATATATCGGATCAGATTCTTTCATCGTTCATTCGAATGTACAGTGTACACACACAAAAGTACAAGAATGCGTTGTCGGCGGTGCCAAAACGAAAATATCTTTGGTGGAGAATTACATAAAGAAAATGTTCCACGTTTTAAAATCTTGGCCAGTACATATAATAATAATAATACGCGTGTTCGTGCATAAAACGCCTAAAACGATTATACGGATATTTGGATTCCGGGCTAAGAAAACAATTTTAGTAAAAAGCATAATATTATATTACTTATTTTGAACACTCGGTACCTGTATCCAAATATCAATATAATTTTGTGCTAAAGTACATTATTTTGTATTATTCGTGTATAAGTATTTATTATTTTTTTTTTTTTTTTTTTTTTTTTGAAGTTCATGAATAATTTCAAAGTAAGAAGAATTTATTTAATTACTAGCAGTACCTATATAATATGTAATATAATTTATAATTTTTTTTTTGTTTCCTATTGTTAACTAAATGATGATGACGACGGTGGCAAGATTTCTCACGAGGTTAAATTGTTCTGTGGGTTAGTGAACTTGATACATAGGCGCTTGATATTTTGACTGCTGCAGTGTACTATATAATATTAAATTCTATTTTTTTTTTTTCTAAGGATTTGGTTTTACACTATTATTTCCAGTCATAGATTCAACCGGTCACAGATAATGTGTGTTCATCATTGTGTCTGTCAGCTTCCTGTTGATTATAATATGCACATGGTATACGATGAACATTCAGTGTTTTCCAAACTAAATGTTAACAAATATGCTGACGTAAAATAGTATAAGTACTACATTTGGTTTTTTAATATAATTCAAAGTACACGTCTGTTGTTTAAATTCGACGGTTTAAAATCTAGTTATATGTATACCAAATCCTTTTCAAAGTAGACAAAATTATGTCTAATAATAATAGTATAATTATATTATAATTAATAATACAGTACAACGATATACATGCTTATTACTCGTACGAGTAATAATCTTATGCCTACAATAAAATAATTACTTTAGAGTGATTAAGTTGAGAATACCGTTTTTAATATTGTGCATCATCGATCCAGTTAAACTACGACCTATATAACAAAGGAAAGTCATCGACTCCTTTTAGATACTCCCATTGATTAATCGTACCTAAAAGTTAAATGACCCCAAACCTTGTTTAATATTTTATAAATTACTAGGGTTGTTGTATGTTAAATAATATATCCCTTTAAATATTTACCTTTTGTGTAATTTTTGGATAAAGGTAATAATAACCTATGTTATATTATGGTATGTTGGTGGAATATTATTTATTATTAAATCAGTCCGTGGTTAGTTTTAACTTCTTTTTTTTTAAGTCCAATCGGGTACCATGTATTTAGATTTCATATAGGTCATAATAATGTTTAGTGTATTAACAGTGACGAATCCTAACTATCTGCCAGAATAATTAATAATTTTTTTATATTAATCTCGATTACCTGATCGTCATAGGGTCTAAATATATATAATAATATATTTTATGATTTGAACTTTTAATACGTGCCAATTATTCTCGAGGGTTTGGCAGTCACCGTTGACCGTTGTGTGGCCCCTCGGTGCCGTTTATTCATTTCACAAATTGAAAATATCCTTCGATTTATGAATAACCCCGTTAAATAGATAAACATTTTATAGATTAGAAATACATACAAGTATTTTCATCGTCGGATTTATATTTATCTTAGACTTTTTAGATTCTGAGCAGAGCGAGGAATGTATTGATTTTACTATGATGCTTTTTTTTCTGTCTGAATAACTTTTCTACCAGAAATCTTACTCCAATCAAAAAACGCTGAAAGATTTTTTTTTCATATTGAATCTAAATATTAAATTGGTGCAATTAGAAGGTTGGCTTTAGATTTCCCAAGCAGTTTTCATAATAATTAGACGTAAAACGCGTAAATAAAAAAAAATTCAAAATTCAAGTACGTATATTTAAAACCCTATATTGAAATTAAAAATTGAATCTGAACAGAATTTGGCTTCGAGTTCTTGTCGGATCTCCATCTTCTCCATCTGTACAAAATTGCAGATCTATGAGTGCATAGATTTGGTTGTGGCTTGCATATTGGATTATTAAAAACATGTATTATTTACGTATTAGTCATTGTATTTTTGATTCCATATTAGTTTGTTTAATACATACGAGTAATATATTATACGTGCAATTTGATTAGTCACGTTACGCTTTATTTTATTTTTTTTCACTTTAGGTATATGATGGTTTAATAGAGTTTATTTGTTAAGTAAGACTTATTTAGTGAAAATTATACTATATTCTCTATTAAATATTATTATAATTTTTTTTTATGGATTTGCCATCAGTTGTGTTATATAGGAACATTTGTCATTTTGTTTCCTTTCTAATTATTATCGTTACGCGGGACGTTATTTTAATAATGTAAAGTTTCTACATGCCTAGAAACTGGCAATGGACCATGCGATGCATTTGGATTCTGTCAGGGGTCGTTGAACTTTTGAACAAGATGTCTTTAACCCTTTAATCCTGTGAGTGATGGATGTATTTTTATTATTTTTAAATTTATTATAATACTATGCAAGTATCCAATAATATACTGACGACATCTTAAGATATTGAATTATTTTTGATTTTATTATATAAAATACAAATTTGCTATAAATATATACGTCTATCAATATCTTGTGAATAACAATACACCTATATGCAGGTATCCGTAAATATAAATAACGTATTACGCTTTGTAAGCGCACGATGTAAGTACTAAAATAGTATTAACGCTTTTTTGGTTTTTTGATACATAAAAAAACATAGTAGGTAATAAGTACCTACTTGTACAAATAAATTGGATAGATATATTTAAAAAAGAGTTATCTGCAACAGGTACAAATACAATGGCCACTTTTATTTCGTTACGGTCAATTAGGCGTGTATTTCTTTAATTCCCGAAGACAATGGTGTAATTTTTTATTATTATTAAAAGGATAATTGAAACGTATCTATATATTTACATTGTGATGATAGTTTCTGCAATATACAAGTATAACTATATTAATTTTTTTTAATCATATACCTACCTACGTGTTGACCTAAACCTTAAACGAAATATTTTGTGTTTTGAAATTAAACCTGTGTGCTATTACACATTTATACTTCACTATAATACAAATATAAACATATCTTGTAATACTTAAATTATTTATCCACAAAGTAAAATAGGTATCCTGTTTGATGATATACTTCTATTAAAACATTTAGTTTTATAATAATTAGTATTAATATTATAGATATTGCAAAATATTGTTGTCGAATAGAGATTTGAAAATAATCGTGTCAATTATGGATTATTCATTTGATTTAAATCAAAATATTGAAATAAAAATAAAACCTTATACCAGTGGTTCCCTGATTATAAACTGTGCCTCCTTTAGGAGGTTCAAATATTTAACAGGGGAAGCGCGAGGTAAATATTGATATTTTTGGATCAACGATAATTTCGTTGAAACGTGTATCTTATTTATTCTATTAGACTATGAGAGAGTCGGTATGTATGAGTATGCAAATCCTTATCATGTCGCCCGTATATTTTCAAACCATAATGACGAATATATATATATATATATATATATATATGACGAATAACCTGAAGTTGCCAACAAAGTTTGGCCTAATAATAGTACACACTTTTTCAGCAGTTGCTGTTTTAAAATTAAAATATTGGTAAAAACCTAATAGGGATAGTATTTTCAACTAAATGCTATGAATCAGTTCACTTTAACGAGTAAACTCAGTGAGTCAACTCTCAAGTTTCAAGTTCATTAAATTAAACAATTCTAGTTATCATAAATTATTATCAGAATTACGTCAGATACTACAGCATCATGATGTAATTTAATAATTAGTATTTACATTGTGGTGAAAGTGAGGCTGGACTTATGAGTAAGTTAGATACTTTAGGTACATCGTCAGTTAAAACTAAATCCGTATATTATCTCCAATAATTCAGGAACTGATAAGTAACAACACACATCCGTATTTTGTGAATTGTATTCGACAGCTGTACACTAAGTTATTAAGTCACTGAGTTATACCACTCTGATTCGATTCATTCAGTTCACCTAAAATAATTAACTCAACTCACTCATGAACTACCCATCCTTAAAACTTAATATTGGTAAAGAAATGCGTGTGGCTGTCACAACATTGTTACCTAATTTTGAAGAATTATTAAATAGAAAACAAACACACTGTTCGCATTAAGATTAAATATTAATAGTTATGGTTTTTTTCTTCGTAAAAATAAAAATATTCTGTAATACTTTAAATTGGAATTAAATAATATTTTTTGTTGATTTATTTTGGCATAAAAATACACATGTTTGAATACTTAAATAATAAGTAATTTATTTATTCATAGGAGGCGTGATTAATTTTTACTTTTATGGATGCGTAAACCAAAAAAGTTTGGGAACCGCTGCCCTATACAGTATAAAACATGCTAAGTACCGTTCATATTTAGCTGTTTTTATACGATATATGAAAATATAGGTACGTTTATTATGTACAATGTGCTACACGCTGATTAATTATAATTATATACGGTACCTATCCCATAGTATAATTTGATATATTTTTAAGCGGTGTTTACATTATTACAGTGTTATTTACACAATGTACGTAAAAATAGTAAATCGTCCAGAGACACCCGTATATTATTATTATAATATAATACTAGTTGTACACCCGTCATATGACCGGTTATAGTGAATTTTATATTTGGTTGCCATGGTAAATCAACAAAGCATTACAGACAAACGAATCTGGCCTTTTATATGTAAAAATTCAATTTTTTTTTATGTATACATACATATACAGGTGTCCCACAAAAATAATATATACCCATTGCAATATCTCCGGAAATAATAAAAAATAATCAAATTTTAGTTTTTTTTTATATATATATATTAGAGATAAGGAGTACAAATATTTATATTTCAATTTTTTATATTTTCGTAACTTTATTACTTTATTTTATTATTTTTCAAAAATTTGAAGATTTTATAGTTTATTCTTCAGAAAATGTTGACGTATCAACTTTTTATTTTCATTAAATTCGTGATTTTTAATAATTTTTTAAAGTTTCAAAAGAAAAAGTGTACAGTCAATCAGACATAATAATACAATTCTCTAATTATTTTAATAAAAATTGTAGGTACTATTCGTATTTTATACTGTACCTGCATATATTATATGATAATACATCGGGCTGTTTTTCTTCTGTGTAACTGAAAATAGAAATCTACGGCAGAAGTGAAAACATTTTTTCCCCGTTGACCTGCCGTTTTTGATTTTGCATAACAAATCTGACAAATCAATACATATTTGTAATTATATTGTTGGTACGAAAACAAAAAAAAAAAAAAAATATTAAGATATATCAATAATACTACACAATAACTGTTATAATGAAGTACTTTCATACCTAGGTACTTACTAAAAACGTATGTCACCTTAGCAGTGCGTATTAATTTATTGATATGTTTGACTTTTGTATTTATACTCGTATACATAGGTATAGTATTATAAGAATACAACGTTATTATTTGTGTTTATGAATATTCGTTTGACTAAAGCAAGAATAAAGGATATTAATACCTACCTATATAATATAGGTACATATACTTCTACAAAATTGGTTCACATTGTATATTATAACCCTGAGACTATCAGTATAATATATTATGTTAATTTTACTGTCTATTTATAAATAATAATAATAATCTACAGCAGCTGTCTAGAATTTAATTCGTGTTAAGCTCTATCCGTATACAAATTTCTTCAGGAATGTTCCCAGATTTCTTCTAAACACATTGTCTTATTTGCTTTTATCGAAATGGGTATTAAAAGTTGATCGTGTAGTTACCTATTAAATGTTTCTGGTCGACACTTTCTTCAAAATTAGACTAACCGTCTTACTGAATAATAGTTGTTCAGCCAGTTTTTCAACTTGTCTATATATACAGCTGAAGTGATGACTTAAATGCATTATTGTTCTATATGGCTGTGCAGATGACAATGAAAACCAGTTTTTTTATATTATGTATAAGCTGTGGTTTCTGTTGCTCTTAAACCCTTTTTTGAATAATCTTAATACGCTACTAGTCTGCTACTATATACTATTTCAAATATGTCTCTTTTATGTCAACGATGTTTTTATTTGTTGCTGTGGTCTGTGTGTATTTTAGATACAGCGTAGGTTCGTAGGTATGATTTGCATCTCGGCGAAGTGAAAACAATAACTAGATGTTGTATTATTATCATTGTTTAGCTTTATTTTATTGCATGTAAAAATAAAACTGTATATCCGTTTAATATTCAAACAAATTAGAATCAAGTTTAATATTGTAGAGTTACTTACTACACATTTATTCGCATTAATCCATTGGCATGTTCATTGCGCGCAATAAAAAAAATTGCGTGGAAATAAAATACATTTAAATTTATATTAATATAATATTATTATCTATTACTTTTGTCCTATAACAGTTATAACGGAACTGCGAGGTCCGTATATAATATATAAATTAACGTTTTAAGTTTCAATATATATTATATAAGCACTTATAGTTTAAAATTATTATTATTATTTTTTTTTTTTGCAGAAAACCGTAAAACCTGTCACCGTTGCATATGGCGGGCGTCAATAACGTAAGTACATATGATAATGCCCCAGAAAATTCCAATAACACACTCCTCGAGCACACTAACAAGGCTGATGATTCAGACGACGAAGATTCGTTGCAGAACGTCATCGACAATGAGCTGTCTAGACGTTTGGACGAGTGCGAAGCTCCGGCCAATCGTGTTAAATACAGCGTAGATATAATGCTAACAGCAGAATCAATTCACAGTGCCAGTGCTAAGGAGTCCGACAATGTCGAATACTCGGACCTTAGGCCTTTAAAACCGAACGAATACCAAGTCCAAAAAGACACTAGTGAACAGTTTTTATTAACAGAAAAACAACACTGCACAGAAGATGTAACGGGTCTCAGTTCTGAAATCGTTTTTGAATTGTCCCCGAATAAATCCGATATCGATAACGACGGTCCATTGTCGTCCGACAATATGAGTAGTGGGTTCGAAGACGGTGTGACGAGAGAACTGTCTGACCTGCAAGATCCTCCTTGCGCAGAGTTGGACGAACCTCGTATTTTCACTAGGCCCCTACCAGTCGACGAGTCGGATAACGTAACCGAATTGGTATTTGATACTTGGACCACGGTTGAAGATGTGACACCCGAAATTCAAAAAATCGAAGTAAACGGCGATTATGAAGAAAAGTCAACTTTGGACATCAGCACTGCTACCTCTAAACAAGAGTGTTTTGATATTAACACACCGGCCATTACTAACAGTGTTGTGAGTTTTCGTTTGAATTAATAACTAACATATTTTATAGTAGTGGTCGGCATCCTTTTTACATGTCGTCATTGGTTTCGCAAGCGATTAAAAAAAAGCTGTGGTTGCCGACCATTGATTTATGTATTATTACACGTGATTTCGCTAACATTTCACACTTTTTAACTGATTTATAGACGCGCTAATTTATTGAGACATTGGTATACGTTAACAATGCGTTTTTGTGTAGTATGTACCTATGGAAATTGGCCCTTATAAATAAAACGATTTCTTATTCGATTCGTAATTCATTGGTGTGTGACGTGTAATCAACCACAATTCCTATACCGATGAAATAAACTGTTAAGCACCATGTTTAATAATAATATATATTGTTATAAATTATACAGTCTGAGCCTTTTATGCATATCTATTATGCATCATATATTATCATAATATTTCAAAAATATATTTCGATTTACTATGAAATTATTTAGTTAGAAAATCGTGTTTAATGGTATCACTATATCTGCTTGTTTGTTCTTGTTTGATTATCCACGCACCGCCCTATTAACAAAAATAATAAATATTAATATGTTTTATTTACACATAGATTTAACAAAAATTTACTGTACATTGTTTATTACATATAATAAATATTATAATCTATTCAAAAATTTATGAACGTCACGGGCGATGACTGATGTGTATTCGATTTTGTCAAATTGCTTAATGATGATGCACATCGAAAACCGTGAAAAATTATTCACTTTACCGGAAATATGGATTTGCCAAATATTATTGGAAACCACTATGTTCTCATACTCATTTCCGATCTCTTTGTTCGCTAATCTCCCCGTCCAGTGAAATACACCTGAATTTTTTTTTTTTAATTAATAAGTATATTTACGAAAACCTGTTTTTTTTTTTTTTAATACATAATTACTAGCTTTTTTTTTATACCTACTGATATACAATATTATATTAGTTTTTTATACTTAAGTCATAAAGTTATATGTAATAACACCAATAACGCATAAAAATAATTATTCCCGAGCCGATAGAAAACATTAAATTTTATGTAAGGTTGAGAAATAAAATGTAATATGTTGAATCCGGATAAAATGCGGTCGTATAATGCAGGTATCTAACTATAAAATAATAATTATTTGGTGCAAATGAAATTCTTTATTTTTCTAGAAATTTCCAGGAATTTATAACACAGTTTTTTATTTTTGTTTATTACGTAGATCTACTTAGTTTAAACGTAACCAATTTTATTATAGGTCTTCGATTATGTTTTCAGTTAATGAATTATGAAAAAAAATATATATATATATGTATATTGTATAATGTATATATACATATGGCTATAACATAATTATCGTGCTTCTATGGTATTATGAACATTATCCTGCACGCCACAATCAAAGAGAAACAATTACTTAACCCGAGTAGAAAATTATAGGTATATTATTTATAACAGGTACAGTACCTACCTATAGTATTTTGTTATAGTAAGTGTAAAAACAATAATTCTTCTTTCAAATAATAATATGTTGGGCGGGTAGTACATATGTATAGTGTTCCTCGCGGTGCGTTTTTGAAACCACGTAACACGCAACATTTTTTAAGATCTGATAATAAAAACACACTACCAAATCTACCTATGTAGTCAATTGCCTCGTGTAGACAGTAGACACATACGTAAGTAAACACCAAGTGGGGATTGAAACAGATGACATGATGTATTTCGAGTCGTCCACACACTGCTGTCGGGTTATCGTCACGGTGTTCTTCCCCTATTGTTCATTATACCATTGTACCCAGGGCAATACAATCGACTTAAAATTATATTATCTTGTGCAGTAGGAAATTTATGATCGTCTTCGATCCATTTTTGTTCTTAAAACGTACAGGAAGTAATAGTCGTTTAATATTATGTTTGATTGTGTTTTGGCAGACGGAGGTAGTGTCGGAGACGACGACCGAACGCAAAACGGTTAAAAAAAAGTCATTGGCTTCCGGCGAACAGACTACTACGGTTGTCAAAACGAAAAAGACGAAAAAATCGAAAAAATCCGACGAAAAAGAAAACATATCCGTAGTAAGTTTTTATAAAAACACACAGTTCATCCTATGCTAAGTTATTTGACCCTACTTCTTACGTAAGTAGTTTTTTTTTCACTACTTACCTATCAATTATTAAACATCGTGCGAAACGAACGTAAATGTTGTGCGTTTATTATATTGAGTGAGAACCTGTTAAAAACATGTTTCATTATTATACCCCTTGATTGAGTTCACGTAAATTATTTTAACGTGGATTCACATTGTATTTAATAACTGTTCGTGTAGCGCAAAGTCAATATTTCAATTTAAAGTTTGTTTTGGTTTTGAATTTGATGGATTTTTTTTATTATTATTTATATCTATAACTTAACACAAGTAGTTTTGTTTTGTGTTTGTATTTTAAATGCTTTTTTGAATCACTTTTAAAATTGAATTTAGTACGTATGAAACTTAGTAAACAGTAAACACACTTGTGTATTTAATTATGTCTTATTGTCAGTATTACCAGTATTCTGTTTGAAATTATTTAAAATGTAACACTACTTTTGCATGCATTTTTGTAATAGTTTTGAGTTTGAGTATTTTATGTGGCTTTTTAGAATTTAAATGGCCATTCGATAAATGACACAACCTGTAGTCAATACGACGATTGTACAGTTGAGGAAGACGACTTATCAAACGTATGCGTTCGAGATCTCGTAAGTATTAAAAAAAAAATGACCTCCCTAAAGCACCAACTACCCAAATAAAATTACCTAAAAAAAAAATAAACATTATTGTAAAATCAATACATTCCTCGCTTCGCTCTGAATCTAAAATATAGTTTTACTAAAGTTACCTGTATTTAAACATATTTTATTATTGGCATGGCCGTTTCTCGAGCTTTCAAGTCTGTGGATATTTGTTTCTCAATTAGTACCTACCTACAACAACACAATGGGATTTTTCGTTTACAATAGTCCATTTGGGTGCAAGCATTTACATTGTCCGAGAATTAATTGGATGTTGACCTTGGATTTCTCATATATTTTCTTTTGTATATCTTGTATTCTGTCGTGAAATTAGTTTTGTAGTAGTTACTAGTTAGTATCAGATATTCAGATACATATAATACACAGGTAGTAGAGATTCCTGAGTAATGTTTCATTATAGAAAATACCGTTGGTACAGGTGAAACTTCTTCATTTTATTCTTAGTGTTAGTACAAGTCCGAATAATAATAATAATATACAAGCAATGACGATAAAAAATGATTAATGCTATCGTTAATGTTTTTTGAAATGCCTTTATGATTATCAATCTTTAAATCATCAAAAAAAAAAATTAAAATTAAATTTTTTAAATAATTGGCGTTGACAAATATATTTTATTAAATTGTTTTGAAATATACGTATTTAATTATATAATTTACCCATGTTAAGTATATGATAAATAATAAATAGGAATTTAAATATGTATTTAAAATAAAAACAACGTATTATAGTGGTGCCTATAATAATATAAGACGTAAGTAATAATTAATACATTTTATCGTATAGCTTTGGATATAGGTACCTAAGTATATTCAATTTATCGATACAATATCATTAGGTAAATTAATAAAAGAAAACATATTTATTTTTTTTTTTCTTGAGATGAGACAATAATTATTCTTTCTTTATAGTTAGATTTCTTTTACTGTAAATATTGAATATTTTATAGTTTGTTCGTATTATATTGTTTTGAATTATTCATTCGGTCAGATAAATTAATTGGCTCCTGGTTTCGTATATTATATATCCACCTTCACTTTAGTTTGACTTCGTTGTATCCAATAAATATCTGTCAATCTTGAGTCTTGATAACCTCATAAGGTCCGTGCTATTTCTGAGTAAGATTCCTATACTGAGAATGTGCAATATTGTGTCATCAACAGGTTTAAGAAAAAAAAAAAAATGAGAATGAAACGTGCTTGGCGATAATTTAGTATAGTATTTATTATGAGTCAGTTATTTAAATCCCTTTGAGTGATTAATAATAATAATATTAATTTTTGGCTAACGTATAATGTTTTCCGTTGTGTATGAATCACGTAGGTATTAAAAATTTCTACTGAAGTATTTGAAAATACATTTGGTACCTACTATAGTTGCAATAAAATTAATTTGAATTCTATTAAAATCTATTGGGAAATGATTATAATTTACAATATTTATTTGAATTTGATTATGTATCATGTACCTGTAATGTACATTCTGTACATAAATGCACATTTCAAATATCATATTAAAACACACGCGAAATACTATTTATAACAATATGTAGTGCATAGTATGTGTGTCATCAAAGTATAAGTATGACACATGGTTTTTTTTTTATTACAAGAAAAAATTACAATAACAGTAAACAACTTTTATGTTTTATTTTATTTTTCGTATGTTTTGTTTCTGGTTGAATTGATTTAAGAAAAAAAAAATATCCATTTGGGAATTAATAATTTTTTTTTCTTAATTTCTCGTGCTTTTATACACTTAATATTTTAAAAAAAAAATTAACACATGGTCATCCTTAAGGAGGGGAATAATGTTTTTTTTATTAGTTAAACAAATCATTCACAAGTGGATTCTAGTTTTGTATACCTAAAAAAAATATGTCCGTGTATGCACCATCTGATGATTCGATTCGACCGGAAGTCAAAAAATTATATATACATATATTACATCAAATACACATTCGCCACACCTTTGCCTGAATTCAATAATCGAAACTGAAATGCACATTTTATTTGTGTTACACATTCAAACTGACGTTATTTTCTAAATACTTAAAAAAAAAAAAATAAAAATAAACTACTACAGTGCGGTATAAAAACTATTATTATCCAGGATTAGGATTGCTGTGAGATTATTGTATGTATCTTTTTTTGTAATGTAAACCGTACGAGTGAAATGTAATTAGCCGGGTGTTTTTCATTGGCTGAGAAAATTATTTTTGTATATAATTCTCGCGTTTAAAGGAATACAATGTCTAGATCCCGTAAACATTCTGAAAAAAAAAACTTTTTATTTTATTTTAAATATTGTATTTCCCATGTATGTTTAAAGAATGTGTTGAAATATAATGGCAAGGTAATAAACAAATTAAGCGACGACGTTAAAGCTTTCAATCCTATATGTACATATATAATGTATATATTTTTTAATAGAACAATTAATTTTTACTGTCGGAGAAAATTTGTTTATTTACATTTAATACATGTGAATGTAATATTATAATAAAGAATGTAAATTGTTTAACTTATCGCCTGATAATTACATCGAAATTTGAATTGTACAGTTGTGAATGCACGCACTATTAAAAATAAAAAATAGAGACTAGGTTTTGATCCGATAACGAAAATCAAAATATACTACTACACTGCTTGAGTTATGATTATTTTTGTGTGTACTTTGGTAGAAAAAATCTTATTGCGACGGAGCTAATCGAAAGCCATCCTCCGTCGTACCAGAAGAACCTGTTCCCGCTTCTATTCCCATCGATGAATTGGTAAGTAAAAGCTTTTTTTGATTATTTTCCTTTTTGCGTCCCTTCCTACATCCTCAAAACGAATCGATCAACTGCTTGTCGTGTGCGCTTTTTGTTGTTGTCGCATCCATACGATTTGTGAACGGAGTGTTTTTATTTGCTATTTGTTTTGTAAAGAAGCGAAATTTTGTCGGTGCCATCAAGAAACAACCATCCGGATGTGAAAACGGAATGATAAACGGTTGTTCGGTAAGTCACGGGTTTCACGAAGTGTTATTATTATTATTATTTTGAATGTTAATACGCATCTTGATCAAAATAATTGCGCTTTGGTAGTTTGTTGTCATTTTTTTTAGTAATCATTAAGGCCGAGGAACGCTATTATTAGAACACCTTGATACACTTATGTAGTGATACGTGTCAAAGTACATAATATTATATGGGTTAGATTGGTTCTTGAATATTTTTTATTTTTTAACAAAACATAATATTATTTCCTTTGTAAACATTAATATTATTATCATTAAGTGTTTTTGTAAAAAGAGCATTAATTTTATCAAAATTAAATACATTGGTTGTGGTATCAGTGTGTATAAAAAAATGTATATTAATATATCAAACATTTTTAAGCTAATACATATCGCCATAATTACATATTATGTATAGGTATACTAATGTGTATAGAGTGTACCTATGTGTCATACAGATTTGACGCTTTTTAATATTTACAAAATTCCCAAATACATTCTATATATGTTATACTTTAGAACTGTTTATTGAATAAAACACTTAATAATGTATGAATAGTAATGAATTTTATATTTTCAAGGTTTTTAGAATGCATAATGTTAATTTTAGTAAAATCTTGATGTTTGATTACATTCAGTGCTGGAGTTTTAGTCAACGCCACTTATCAAACAGTAATTTGTTTTAAAGATCATGGAATGTGTTAAAAACCCACACTGATTCTCTAAATTTCTCTACAAACATTTTAAATTATAATTTAAAAGTAATTACCACAATATTATACAGATCAATTTATTTCAGCCTTTAAGTTAAAGTATCTGTTTCAGCATAAATAAAAACAATTATAAAGTGTAGTATATACTGTATATATTATGTGAATTTTATGTTAGGGGGTACAATTTTTACTATTAAACTTAATTACTTTGCTTTTTTTCATCTGTATTTTTCATGCAATAAATATCTAATAAAATTGTATAGAAAATAGATTTGGTTTTGATAACAAGAAAACAATTTTTTTTTAAATATATATACATTTTAATTACAATATTAACATATCAATATTATTGTTTTCATTTATAATTTTTAACTGACACATTTAGTAATTTTATTTATTACTATGTTAGCTAAATGTAAATTGTTTTTTATTTGTCAATTATTAGAAGCAATTTAAATTTAAAAACTAATTATTAGCTATTTTTTGATAAATCAAGAATAATTTAATGTTTTTCAAAACTTCAATTTTAATACTAGAAAATAAATTATTCAATACAATGGTAGATTGCACTGCACATATTTTTGAAATTAACTTTGTTAAAATGCTTATTTTTGAAAAATTTGTTATTTGTTATTTTATTTTGTAATAAGTTATACAATTTGAATTACTCTATTATTATACCAAAACTAAATTTTTTCTATTACTTTTTTTTTTTCATATAGTATTTGTGTTGGTTTATATTACAACTTTTGAGGTTTATGGTATTTTGTCAGTTCCTTCATAATTTATTATTCACCTAATATTTATTACCATGATACATATTAAACACAGTTGTTTTATTTTTTTTTAGAAATCAAGTTTTGGGAAATTCGATCAGCTGGAAAAGAAATCAGTTTTACAACAAAGATCCTTAGAATCTGAAAAAAGTGATACCAAACAAGTAATTAATTAAACTTACAGAGCAGATTTAGTTTTATTTTGAAGACTGTATTATTATATTAGTTTTATTAATTTTTAGAATGGTGTGTCACGTCCAGAAGTTAATTCTGTGTGTAAGTCATGTGAAAAGACTGTGTATGCAATGGAACAAATAAAAGCGGAACGTCAAGTTTGGCATAAAAACTGTTTCCGATGTACAACATGTAATAAACAATTGACGTAAGTTAGGAGGAATTTATTCCATGATAATAATTGCATACAATTTTTACACAACTTTAAAATGTCAACACTGTATATCAAAAATAAAAATTTTACATTTTTTCATAAAACTGAGTTTAAGTTGCACCTGTTAAAAATGTTTAATCGAGTTTAAATTTTAGAAGACTTATTTATTAAGTTGTATTGAAACAAATTTCAGGCCGGTACATTCTAAAATTTGAGGAAATATATTGATACTATGTAAATAACTGGCACCCTAATATATATATATTTTAGAATTTTCAGATATTAATTAATGATTTTGGTTTTGTTTTCAGACTTGATATTTACAGCAGTCACGAAGGCATCTTATATTGTAAACCACATTTTAAAGAGTTGTTTAAACCAAAAGTAGTTGTTGAGGATGAAGAACCAAGTAAGTTATTGTTCTTATTATACATAGGTATGAGGTTTTCATAAACCAAAAATAGGTGGAATGTGGTAATCATTTAATGAGACAATATTATTATTTTCATTAAATTAAAATAGTTTTTGGAAAACCATGATACTATTAAAACTTAGAAAAAAGTATTCCATCAACATTAAATTTGAAAATAATTACAGCTGTGTTGATTTTTTTTTTTATAAAACATTTGATCTGCTATCGACATAGTTCGACGCAAGAAACCAGAAATGATAATACGTGAAAATCAGCCCATGGAATTGCCACCAGATGTGGTTAGAGGTATATCGTTGGACAGTATTATAAACCCATCGTGTAACGTGTGTGTTGTATTTATATGGTTTCTAGTATTTGTTTCTGTTTGGTTTTTAAAACTTATTTAATATTAAATTGTCCCCAAAATACTACAAAATATCTAAATGAAATATTTATGATATACAAACTGGAACGTTTACTAACCTCCTCATAATATGCCGTGAACTGCTTTTTCCTACCTTTAAAATGTAATATGACTAGCAATTTATAAAAAATTTAATTTATTATTTGTTTAGATTAAAAGAAAATAACATCATAATAACTTATAAACCTTGCATTTGATATTCTATAATTTTAGCGAGTGATAAACCGGATCTGGGGTTAGAAGAATTGAGTTCTTTAAATGTGAAATCACGTTTCCAAGCTTTTGAAAATGTCACCACTAATGGAAATAGCCACATGGAAAAATCTCCAGTTAGTGTTAAACGGTCCCCGAGTATATTGAGTAAATTAGCTAAGTATGTATTTTTATTGGATGTTTATTTAATTTATTTTAATTTTTTTTTTATTTATAATCATCAATGGTCATTATTTTTAATTGTCTAGATTTCAATCTAAAGGTATGGATGTAGGAGTTGCAAATGATGCATTAAATGGTGCATTTTTTGAACCTTCATCAAGTAGTGAAAGCGAAGACGAAGATGCAGGGAACGACATGTTAAAAAATAGCATCTCAAAAGAAAAACCAATGAGTTTTGACAAAATGGAGTCTGTTAAACGTAATTGGGAAATGCGCCGAGAAGAAATGAAAGAAGAACACAAACAAGAAATACAAAACATAAGATCTAAATTATTTGCGGTTAGTAACAGAAAATGTATTAACCAAAACTTACTTTATATATTGTTCATTAAATTCTAATATCGATTTTAACAAAAGTTTTAAAAGTTGAATGACCTGTAATTGTTGTGTGAGTTAGATGTGTACAAGTGATTTAGGTGCTAATAATTTACTTCATACCTCTTACAATGCAATTTTTATTTATTTACCGATTTTATATAATAACTAATTAATTAATTAAATTTATTTTTATTTTGTTTAGGGAAAACAGGGAAAAATGAAGCAGATGTATGAACAAGCTGTGGCTGAAAGTGAACGCATAGGTGTTAAACGGGATTTAAGTATAAACAAATCCGATAAAGCCAAGGTAATTAAAGAGAAATTTGAAAAGGGTGAAATAGTTAACAATGAAGGTGAAGATGTAGATGAAATCAACTCTAGTGTATCTGTGACCAATGGTGAAGAAGATGAGATGAGTGTTTTTGAAGCAGGTATGTGAAAAATAAATAATTTTTTAATATTTATTTTAACTATATTTTCTTTCTTTTAGGAATTTCTAAAAAATCTCGTAGTTTATTCATGGAACTGGATGCTAATGCTGTAAAAACTAAACAAACTGTACCAGTTGTGAATACTAAAAAAGAATATATTCCTACAAAACAGGTAAAAATACAGTTTAACATTTTCTTATAACTATAACTGTATTTAAAATTAATATTAAATTGGTAATGCAAACAATCAAATATGAATGGAAGTAATTAAGACAAAATCAAATAAATATTTAACATTAAAAAGGTATCAAATTATACCACATGTATACATAATATATGTATATATAATTTAATGTTTTTATAATATAATATTGTATTCGATTTAAATTGAGATATATTGATATTTTAAATTTTGTTTTGAATATATAATTTATTTAAGTCTATATGTGTTATGTAAATATGTATACACAAAACAGGTTAGACCAATATACAATCGTCAAGTGTCCGATGATGTGGTCAAATGCAGTGACCGCATCGAGGACGTTTCTGTGGAAACAGCTGAAGTTTCTTCAAAGTTTAAATTCTTTGAAACTTACAAGCCTCCTGAAGTCACTAAGAAACAATTCAGGATTACACCCCCACGAGAAGGCCAAATTAAGGTTTCCTTAATGCAATTATCTAATTGGTTATCCTAACCATTTCCAATTAAACTACTAATTATTATTTTATATAAAAGATATGAGTGTTTTTGTATAATTAATTTTTATTAATTTTTTTATAAGCCATGGGTTTCTTTTATCAACTAATCTTTCAGCATTTGGGTTTAAAACAATAATTAAGTTTTTTGTAGTTTTGTTTTATCTTGTAATTGCTAGTCCATAACATTTTTTTTTTTTTTTTGTTTTAAGTTTTTACTTAATATTAACTATATGAATATCTAAAACTCATTAGAAGAAGTTAAAAAGACTAAAGACTAAAAAGACCCCTCTTTTTTTGTTTTTTAATGCTATTTAGTATTAATTATTATTTTATATTGTTTACAAGGCTTTTTAAATGTACTTTTTCAAAGTGTAATCTGGACAATTTGTTTTCATATATTTTATCTTATATTACTTATAAGTATGTTAGTTGTAAATGAAATATTTTAGTATGAGTAAACTATATTCAAAAAGGTAAAAAGAAACCTTTAATAATTATGCATTCATGAGTCAATAATTTTTGCACCATTATAATCGTCTATTGTTTACTCATGAACTATATTTTATTTCAACTGTGTTGTAAAACGAAGAATTATTAATTTTCCCATAAAATATTTAAAAATGTTTAACACTTTTTACTAATGATTTTTAGTAATTAAATATTTGTGTTTAAAATATTTAATTAAAAATTATAATATAATCAAACAATTTTAATTAATTGATTATTTTGTTGAGAAACATTTTCCATATATTCATTAAAATAAAAAAAAAAAGACGAAAAGTTGCTGCTGTAAAAAATCTGCTGTAGTTACTTTGTTAGGACTTAATTTATTAATCATTACAATTTATCATGCTATTTGTAGTTTGTTGTAATTGTAATATTCCTAAGTAGATTAGTAATACAAATTAAATTGGATTTTTTTATTCTGTAAATATTACTTTAGAGACTGTGATAATGTATGTTTTTATTATTTCTAGTAATAAACATTTTATCTAAATTGAAAAAATAGATTCTTGTATAATGAAATTAGAGATTACTTATTATACAACATTCATTGTTTTGAATAATGCTCCATTACTCTCTCTTTCTACTTATACTTAAAAATGGAATATTCCATGAACAGGTTGACAGAAATCAAAAATTTAAACACCAACATCATTTATTTATACTCATACTCAGTATATGTATGAAACTTTTAATATAGGTTGCTATTTGAAAACCAAAGTTGGTATTCATTTCACCTTCCAAATTAAGTATGACAAAAATAATGGTAATGTAAAATTTTAGATTTGCTTGTTTCCTGAATTTTCGAAAAAAAATATATTTTTTTAATAAATCAATATTTTACAAAAAAATAAGTGTTCAACGATAAAAACAATTTTTGTATAATATTTTTGAAAATTATTTTGTAGGATAAGTTTGATTTTAAAATTTGTACATATGTACAATAAACCTTGTTTTGAAGAAAAAGAAGTATTTTAGCTGCTTACATTTTTCATTTTCTATTAATCAGTTTATACAAGTATTTTTGTTTTAAATAACATAGTTACCAAATTTAAATTCAAATGGTCTGAATGCCAGCCTATTATCTATGCTTATTAATGTGTGTCAAAGTTACAAATCACATTATAGTTTGGAATAAAAATATATTAAATGTATTTTATATATTTATTATATTTTTTGAAAAATAAAAATACTTACAATATAATTTTGAGTGTTGTACACTAAAAGAATCACTGTGTGTTATGATTTTCAGTTTTTCAGTAATAAATAAATATCGATTTTTATTTAGATCATAGTCTCTAGATGTAAAATGTTTATATTAAAAAATATTATATATATAATCCATAATACATTATTCTTTATTTTAATTTAGTATTTCATGTAATTTTGTTTAATTAATATTTTACTAATCATAATTTTACCTAACTTACTTATTACTGGAATTATATTATATTGTATTGTTAATTGTATATAAATTGTTAAATATTATTTATTTCTTGTTATTAACTTTTCAATTTTTATTTTTAATTAGGGTGAATCTCCAGAACGTGACATTTACCGTGATCCCAACGTTGTGCGAAGTGAAGACCCTGTTGATGAAACAGCAGAACTAGTTAAAAGTAACACAACTGCGAAGATGTTGTCTTTGTTTAGACAAATGGAAGTAGCCAGACCATCAGTACCTGATGGTCCAAAACCACTTAAATGCTTTACTCCACCACCAGACTATAAAGAATCTGAATCAGAATCAGAATCTGATGATGATGAGGTTAGTGGTGATGACGACAGTGAAGACGATGAATCTATAAATAGCGATAGTAATGGTGATGTTGTCAAGTCATCTATGAAAGTTGAAGATGAATTTTTGAAAAATGTAAGATTCTATTGTATATTATATTATAATTTATTATAATTTACAGTAGAAACCATTTATAATGACATTAATGACATTCAAGGGACTAGTTAAAATAAATCAAAATTTTCATTATAACCAAAATTATAAAATAAAATATAAACACTTGATTATGTATACAGTGTGGCCTACCATATTCAACAAATTTTTTTAGAACTGTTATTATTAAATATTTTTCAATTTTTTATTTTCAATACCATAAACATACAAAAAAAAGAAAATAACTATATTTATTTATTTTACAAAATTTTCAATAGCCATTTTGTAAAAGATATTATTCTAAAAATGTAAATGTATCTCATATTACATCAATGTGTCATATTTTTATCACTAAATCGTGACTTCAATTCATACATGAAAAATAAAATAAAATAAATTGTTTTATTATTTTAAAATTAAATTTCCATTACCTTCGATTAAAATTTTATAAAGTTATTATAGATAATAGATTTTACCAATATCACCAAAAATAACTGTCATAACATCCATATAGTTATTATACAGATGTTATAATAATAATCAATACAAATTATAATATACAATATTTAATTAATTAATTAATTAAATTTAATTACCTTAATTGCCAGGACCTTCAATCTAAGGTTCATTACACCTGATATGTTACTGCAACTGGTAATTATAAATGGTATCTACTGTATATTGAATATTGCAACAATGAGTCTAATGATCATAAAAAATAGTGCTTGTGTATTTAATTTTTAGGTTAATAATAATTTAAATAAGTATATTGTTTACTATTGTATAAAATGTATATTATAATAATTAAAATTATCCAATTTAGGCTCAAAATGCAGTGATGGCAAGGTCATTGAAAGAGAAATTTGAACATTGGGAACCAGATAAGCACTCTTTAAATAATGCTGTTACAATGCTTGACTCTGAACAAGAGAGCATTGAGTCAACTAAGTCTTTGCGTGCTCGTTTTGAATCCTTGAAAGGCGATCGTCCAGCTGATAAGCCTAAACCAAAAGTTAATAGATTCTTGGTAAATAACTCAGAAAGTATTAAATATAGTTTATAAACGCTTTTGATTAATCTCCTTCTTCCGTTTGGCCTGTCTGTTTTTTCTTCTTGTTTTTTTGTTTTTGTAGGCCAATGCTAATATGTCGACAGTCGGACGAAAAAAAGATATTTATTGGGACTTTTTTTACTAACGTCTGACGTGACGACATAGACACAAAAAAAATTATTCTTAAACGATTCATTTTATTAGGTAAATGATATTTAATGAGTTTCTGGAATATTGAAAGTCCAGTATATTATGTGGTAATTGTTTGTTGGTTGATTCATTTATTAACCCCAAAAGAGGAATACGAGTAATAATAAATTATTACTTAACTCTTTTTGTTGTTTTTTGTTTCTTTTATTTTAAAAAATTACCAGTTTGATTGTCCTTAATACATATTCATGTCATAATTTTGAGCAGTTTATTTTATATAATAATACGAGTATGTTTGTTTATTAATTTGATGCATCTTTTGAGAAACTGTTTTGATGAGCAACAAGTTGTCAAGCTTGTGCATTTGGCATTTGTAAAAGTTATATGATTTAAGTACAATATAATTACTTTGAAATATTTTAAGCATAATAAATTAAAAATAATTGTAAAATTTAATTCCTTGAATTTAATAAATTTGATAAGTATTAAACAGCTCATAGCATTAAATAATCACATAGTGAATTAAACAGTGGCATCTTCCTATTTGTTGAATGTTTGATGTAAAGTAAAACATTGAGACTATGAAATGCTTATGATTAATTTATTCCCAACTATCTTTATGAAAAGGAGGGACTCCTATCCAAATATAATTAAAATTCCTAGAATTTTATTTTTAAATCAAGGAATTTATTGTTAACTTAAAACTTAACATTCTCATCTGTACATAATCACAGAATAATGTTACAAAGTAATTTATTGTCTAATATTAATAATGTGAGTATTATTGATGAACATTGCGTTTTCTGTGATAATGAACTTTTCAATTTTCTGATAGAAAAACAAATTTATTATGATTTATTTATATATTGCGTTCACTATTAAAAATTGTATATGTATATTTTTTAGCTCGTTCTATATTAAATCAAGAGCAATGTAATTTTATTATTATATATTTAACATTAGGCGTGCGCATATAAATCTAAAGTTAACAGTATTTTATATTAAATAACCATATTGAATTATTAAACGAGTGCATGTCTAATATTATTGCGATACCAGTTATCACAGAAAGCGAAATATTTAAATGTTTTTATTTTTTATTTCTCATTATTATTTATTTATTTTATTTATTTTTAACCATTTAGTATTTGATATTTTGTTGTGTTATTTTTCAAATATAAATCAAAAATATTATTTTAATTTTAATTGTTGCGCTTATTGTGAAAAATCGCGTTTAACAACATAAACATTTTTAATTCAAAAAATATTTACCATTATTTGTGATTAAAAAATAATAATAATAATGTAAAATGCTTACAAAATTTTGTTTGCCCATATTGATTAACAACGAGTCTTTAATAAGACATTTACACAAGTACCTATTATTGTATTGTCAACAAGGAGGTGAGTTTTTTTTTTTTTTAACAAAATATTTATTATTTTTACTTTTTATTTACATATTATTTAAATTCAAATGTAATATAATAATCATATCTAATTTTCAGCTTTATAACAACATGTATGTGTGTGTGTGTGTGTAATGAAGTTGCGGCAAAATATTTTTGTACGGTTTCGTTTTTTATTATTCATGTTTAAATGGTGGTGGGTACTCAAAAAACACTGTCGTTTGGTGTATAATTAATTATATATTAGAGTATTATCAAAAACATGCTTTTAAACTTACAAAATGAACTTAGGCCTTGTTAGTCATAGAGTTAGTCAATATTATGATTTATGGTACCAGAAAAAAAAAAAAGAACTTACTAAAAATTGTTTGAACATTTTTTTTGGTAACATTAATTTGTCAATGTTATTGTTAAAAAAAATGAAAATAAATTGATAACAGACTTTCAAAAACTCATTTAAAAAAATTTTTCATATTCTCATATTTATTTTATTACCGATTTCAAATTTTTACATACAACGTAGTTTGAGAAATAATTAAAGTATGAAAGCATGTTTCTAGGCAGTTTTTTTTTTCTGAGACGTCCTCCTAAGTATAATTTTTTGCCGCTATTTCGGATAACATTTATTATTGTCGTTTTCATTACATATACTTACACAAAACAGTGTATGTACTGTATTGTTCCCTATATCTGTTATTTTTTTACTAAATTTTAAAAAAAAATACCTAAAAGTGCAATGTCTATTGTTTTAGAATGTTGATGGATGATTTTTTTTAGATTCCATTTGCATTAGTTTTAAAACTAGAAAAATAAATAGTCGCACATTTGAATTAAGAACAAAATATTATTTTTTTCATTATCTGATTTTTGAAGGTTTCATTTTTTTTTGTTCACAATAGCCACTTATGTAGTGTTTGCTTCAGTGAATCACCTAATATTCTGAAAAATTTGTTATATAATTATTGAAGAGTCGAGTAGTCCGGCTCCAGTGGTATTCAATTATTATTCTTTAATCAGTTATTAACCACAATCTTTATGTTTATTATCTAATATTCGTAATATAAAATTTAGTTAATAGTTTTCTGTTTAAATCATTGTAAAATCTAGGTAAATTATACATATATAATAAAAAAATTATTCCTATTTTTGATTCATTCTAAAAAAAAAGTCATCCTGTACATTAATATTGATTATACATCAAATTAAAGCTATAACATTATAAACAATAATAATAATAATATATTGTCATAAATTATACTTAATTGTTAATTTTGTTTGGTACCTATTTTTTTTGTTACAGTAATAACTGAAGGACAGCCTGTCAACTTCGTATTTATACAAAAAAAAAAACTACGTATATTATCTAACATAAACATTATTTGTTTGATTTTCATTTTATACTTTTCTTCTTTTTTTTCTTCTAAAAAAAAAAATGCGAATCAAAATTGTTGTATTATCGATTCGTTAATAATATGTTATTTTTTATTTTTATTATAAACAAAAGTTAACAGAGAAAACAATTTTATCAACCTTAATTAACAATAAATATACATTGTTTGTGTTGTCAAAAACCGTATGTCAAACGTATTATAATAATATTATATACCTTTAATTAATAGTCATCACATTTTTTTATTATGTTTACAATTAGTTAACTCGATCGATAAATTTCATATTTATTTTAAATAATTTAATTAGCTTATTCAGTGTAATGATTTTTTTTTTTTTTGATAATTCTTATTTTCAATATTGTTTTTTTTTTTAGTTTTTCTATAGATGAAATTGTAACTACAAATAAGTGGAAGCAAAACCTGATCACTTTGACCTGTTTTGAGAGTGTTTGAATGAGTAGGAGTAAACACAAACATTTGATTTTAAATCACTAATACCTATATTGTTCTGGAGCAATTGAATTTTAGTTTATATTATTACTTGTAATATTTAAGCTGGAAAACATATTATTTTTATTGATGTAATCGTGAATGTTTTTATTTTATTTGAAATCTATAAGAAAACGTTTTAATATAATTTTATTATAAACATCAAAATTATTATTTTTTAATGTAATACTTACTATATAATATTTTATAATTTAATGTCCCAACGATTGTGATTTGAATATGATATACCTATTAATAAAAATTTTATTTGGATTACCCAGCTGACTCATGGCGTGGTGTACAACATAATTATAATTATCTATTTGTATTATTGTTTTTTTATTATAAATGTATAATAACTTTGCTATATTATTTTATTAATAACATTGTTTTGTTGTTTTTTGTCGTGAGCGGCGGAAGACAGCACAACAAGTTTTCATACCAATGATGGCGGTCCGGTGAAAACCACCGCTATGCGCGTATGTACGTTTCGTCTTTCAAAAACGTAACTATTCGCTGTCGTCACATACTACAGTACTCACTATAAATGTTGTTGTCATAATATACTTATTAATCATCTTGTTACGTTATCCTTGTCACATTATCATTCACTTCTTACCATAATATTGTCTTGTGCTATTGTATATTACTATATATTGCTGTTATAATATCATGTATACTTATTTGTTGTCTTCGTTATTAATTGTTAACTTTTGTTGTTTAGCAACAGCCTGACAGCCAGTTGACCGCCTTGTGTAAATCCTGTGGAAAGAAAGTCTATACTTTGGAAAAGGTCGAAATCGAAGGTAGACCGTTTCACCGGGCATGCTTCAGGTGCACGCAATGCCAGTGCGTCTTGCGGTGAGTTTTTTTTTTTCCATTAATTTTAGTTAATTAATAAAGAAATGTATTGATTTTAGTATAATATATTATGATATATGATTTTTATTTTTATTGTCTAATGTACAAGATTTATCATCTTGTATTGTAGTTAAAAAAAAATGTATGTATCCTGATTTAGTAAATTTTTTTACAAACACGTTCAAATTGGCAGCATTTTAAAATATTATATTACAATGCTAGCACTTTATTGTTGACAAAGCAACACTATCAACTGAACACTGCTCAAAACCTTTTTGTTAGCAATGGTTAATTAATATACATTCAATTTCTCCTCTACTACCTTCCCAACTTCTCACCCATAACAGTGTCTGCATCTATCTCTATTATCCTAGGACAGCCTTTTAGATTTCAATATCTATACATTTGAATGTTGAACTTCTTTTTATTTTTTACAATGATTAATCATTGCTTTCAGTATGTATACTAAATTAAATTATTATCTCTATACCTTAAGATTTTAACTTCTTACCTTATACAGAGGCCATCTTAAATGTTATATTTATTTATTTTTTCCTCTTAGAATGGATACATTTACGTGGAACAATAACCGTTTGTATTGCCTCCCACATTTCAAACGGCTGTTTATATCAAAAGGAAATTATGATGAGGGATTTGGCGGTGACCAACACAAAAAAAAATGGGAAAATGTACATTTGCAACAAGCGCCGCCCCTAGTCGTTGAAACCCCGACCGACTAGAATCTCGTTCTACGAGAAAAAATTATTGATTTATATTAAAATTAGAAACAAAAAATAATTTGTACTTAAACAATTTTATATCAATGGAAATGTGATCTTAAGAAATTATTTAATTTAAATATAATATGTAAGTCAATATTATATTATACATTGCAAAAAGTGAATTTATTTTATAAACACAATATATTTATGTAACTTCTGAAATTATTTATATTATTTATTAGTTAGAATTACCAAAATCATTATTTTTATTTATTATATTACTATTTTTATAAGGATTGTGTATAACACACTAAAATAACAATAATAATAAAAAAAATATTAATTTATAAACAATTGCTTTCTAATATCTCTTAATTGTCTTCTTTTTAAATGGTCCCTTGAAAAAAGCACCTATCCTGATATTTTCAAACTAAATTCTTTAATTCTGTAACTCTTATCTTAAAGAGAGGGTTTACTTCCCTAAATCCTACGATGTTAACTTCTTACTTAAAATGGTGGCTTTAAATATGATTTTTATTTTTAGAATGGATATGTTAATGTGAAACTGCTCATTTTTTCAAAAATGATCCCTTTAAAGTACCACCCAGAAATCATTTCCTTTCAGAAAAGGTGATATACTTGATTATCGGAGTAAGCTTTCTAGTAGAAAACAAAATAAACATCATTGTAAAACCAATACATACCTCCATACGATCAGAATCTAAAAAAAAAATAATTATAATTATAATCTAAGTATAGAAAATAAAATTTTATTACGTTACACTCAGTGTAATAACGTTTAATTTCCGACATTTGTTAGCCCGCTCGCGTGTTTTGGTAATGTAAGTCTACTACTTTATACTCGGTTGTCTATTCAGAATCGTTATGCTTTGATTGGCTCAATTTGAATTACCGCGTTTTCTGTTCGCCGGTGCACCTAACGTTTCCTTTAGTATAACATTTGGCTTGCTTATCATAAAGCTCAATTTGTCTTTTTAGATTCTGAGTGAAGCGAAGAAGCTCATGGTTTACAAAGATGTTAATTTTTTAATTTTTTAATTGTAACACAATTTCTGAAAGTAAATCGGTATGGAAAGGTACTTTAAGGAGGTCATTTTTTGATTTTTCTAGGAGTTTTCCCAAAAATCGAAAAAGAACGGGAAAATTTATAAAATTTCCTGTGAACAACTTTTCTACCAGTAATTTTGCTCCGATTTACAATGATAGCACTTTTTTTAAGAGGAAATTTACTGGGAAGGTACTTTAGGGAGATCATTTTTTGATCTTCTCAAGAGTTTTTCCAGCAAATGTAGTCTATAATTTTCATAATATTTTTAACTATTAAAAGTTTAAGATCATTTTGAAAGTTACTTTTTTCTGTTCTTGTGACCATATTTTTGAACGAATTTCATTACTATACAATACCTAAATACTTGTGATAACTACACGGGAAATTACTGTGTAGTACGCGTTTTCAAACTTGAAGTTGGCCCACTGTTTAATATTATATTACAGTAGTCAATGGCATAATTAATCTTAACTGTTCGCTCATGGTTTTCTCATCAATATCCCCTCCTCTTTCCCCCCACTGATAACGTTTTGTAAACATCTAATGAAGGTACTCGATTGCATACTCTGTTGTGCGTATGCAATACGATTCAATGCAACTAACAAAAAGATAAAAGATAACAAAAAAAAAAAATCCATTTGATGCCCTCATACATAAGTATTATATTTTAATCTAGTCATATTTTTACATCACGTCGAAGAAACAGTCCAAAGACATGATCGTTTTGGCATTGATCGCCGCTGCCTTTATGAACGGTAATGTATGCCCTTCCATAGTATTGTCCCTTTCATCCCTCAAAATATGCAACTTTATATACAGTATATTATGTTAACTAAAATTGGAAAATCAGTTGGTCGGTGGCTCTAGTACTCGGTACATTGCTAATTAGTGCAATATCCGAAATAGTAATACACCACATAATATAACACCAGTAATATGTTTTACATGGTTTGAAAATTAGAAATAGGCAATTAAAAAAAAAAAGAAAGGAAAAACGGACGTAACCATTTTCGTTCATCTAGTTAATTTATTTTGATATACTGAAATAAAAATATTTTTGACATTCGTTGATTTTTCAACTATTCAATAATTCAAAATCACAGCCAAATAATTTGTTGCGTGTTGTAGAATTTACAATCTGTCTAATTTGTGTAAAAAACGATTAATTTCCAATTTTGCTTTAGATATATTGTTTTTACAATGATGTTAATTTGTTTTATATACTGTAGACAATTTCTACCAGAAATCTTACTCCGGTGTATCAAGTGTCAGAAAGAAGATTTTAAATAGTTGGTAATTTATGGAGGTCATTTTATGATTTTCTAAGCATTTTTCATCAAAAACTGGGCAAAATGTAGAGAAAACGGGAACATTTACGAAAACAATGATTTTATTATTTAAAATTTTGTTATTTGCTACAATTCAATTAAAAATGTCCATGGAAACTGGAAATTTAGACGGAGAAGTGATATTTGTCTTTCGTAGAGGTAGTAGAAGTTTCAAAATATCTGAGCCATTTTTGAGATATTTATAGACATTTTAATTTTGTGAGTTTTTTACGTAATTTTTATTCGTTACCTAGGTACTTTGTGGATAAAATTGTTAAAACAAACAGAAAATTAAAAATTGAACAGAGGGTTCATTATAAATTGTACTTAGTGATCAACAATAAAAAGCTGTATTTAATGTAGTATTTATTTTTTTATAAGAATTTTAATACCAAATTGTGACGCATATATTACAGCCTTTTAAAACATGTATATATAACTGAACTCCGCTCAGAATCGGTTTTCGTTAGTAATGATTTATAGTTGTATTCAATTCCCTATATATATGTTGTACCTTCCCAACTTCTCACCTACAACAGTGACCCACCCATCTTGTCAAGTACATCCGTCTTTTTTTCCTTGAATATCATATTAAATAAAATATAGTTAACAAGGGGCCCGTGCATGGCCTATTTTTGTGATCAAAAATATGCTTTGCTTGAAAAACTCTCATGTCTCATTCAGTAAACCGATTTAGATTTTTTTTTTTTATCGTTATGATACATTAAGTTTGGATTTTGAAAATTTTATTTTATTTATATATCTAGAGTTTAAATTTGGCCAATATTCACAATTTGTTTAACTCATTTTTTGTGAATTTTAGATACGCAATTAAAAAGCCTACAGTTATATAGTTCTATAATATATGCATATTAAGCTTTGTATTCATACAACAACAATCTGTATTATTTAATCATGCAGAACATGTAAATTATTATCTTAGTTGCGAAAAGTACATACAAAATATTAACATGCCACATAACTTTTTATATGATTTAATAGTCCGGGTTTGCAGGACTTTTTACCCTAGTTCACCCAAAACTCGAATTACGAAATCCAATAAAATTTTTGCGAACGATTTTCGTAACCCTAAGTATTCACCGCCAGCTTAACAGTTTTGGTTCACAGAAATCGCACCCGGTATCGGTCCATTGTATATTTGTAATATTATCTCAGTCCGTGGTTAGCACGATTGGCAAAATTCGTTCTTTATGTTGTACTACCGCGGAGACAGAACCGGTAAAATTAATTTTCATAAAACTATTTTACGATAACACTGATAGTTATAAAAAAAAACTCGTAACTGCCCACTTTGTACGCTCCAGTGCTCGCATCTCCATGACTGGTTCACTTGGCCCTTTCGCACGGGTGTACTCGAACATTGCCCGAGTACGGATTGTGTTTATTGTGTTACACATTACCTATTACCGCGTAACGGCTGTTTCCGTGGTAAATCGTGATACTTCCATCAGGCAATTGGTTGGCGGTGGTCGCGCACACTCAAAAGTACCACCATGACGGAGCATTGAGTAGGCCGGCGTGCCGGTCATTTTTCGACGAGTTCAAATCGCAGTGTATCTGGGCCATGGCTGTCGGCTACGGCGTGTACTTCGGATTTTGCGGATACTTAGAAGTGAGTGGATTTTCGTAAACCCGTTTTTTGATAAAAGTACGAGCAGCGAAACCAGAAGCGCGACCGTCGCGCGCATGGTGGCGAGTTTCCACGACTACATTGGCATGCACTGTGTTCACATTATGCACATTGTTTATAATATACATATAACGTACATTTAAGCAAGGACACTCAAAGTTCTTCCTACAACAGCTGAGATACAGCTATATCAGCTGTTCGTTAGAAGCAGCGCCACACACACGGGCTATTTAGAGCCCCCGGGCCGCACGAAAAAGGCCACCGTGCGCGCGCGCGACGGTCACGCTTCCGTACTATAATTATAACGACCGTTGCAGTGGAAATACTATGTGAGAGGGCGCGGCAAAGAATTGGAATGGAAATGTCAACCGAGACGCTATTTACCCGGACACCTGGTTTGGGACCAAATCAAATGGGGTTGCACAGGATTGATGGTCACGAACGTCGTCTCGGCGGTGGTGGCAACCCATGTCGTTTGCGGCGGTTACAGTCGAGTGTACATGAGCGTGTGCCAGTACCCGTTTTGGTGGTGGATACTCCAGTGGCCGGTCATATTCGTTCAACAGGTAAGAGCGGTTAGCGTTTTTGGAGTCGCGAGTTTGGATTTCATGCTGCAACGTGGTAGGAAATATTCAATCGTATGATTGCGATGTTCTGAAGCGCAGATAGTCAATAGAATCTTAATATTAGAACTTAATGAAGTTTAGTCACGTATTAATCAATAACGTTTTTATTAAGACTCACTAGTGATTGTCACGTCAGTCGTCCGACAAAGTTTTTATTCGCGGAATGGTTGTAGTGGAAAATCGCCGTTTCTTACATAGTGGTTTATGGCCATAAGCCTTACAATGGTAATGTCGAGTAATGTAGATGGAGTGGGATCATTCTAGACAGTTCATCTAACCTATCCTATTATGCATATGTATATAACTATAATAGTATACTGAACATTACAATACTATATTTTTATATCTCTTCTTCCCTCCGTCTTCATCCCAACTATTTAGGCTCGGCCACCCTTGTCCTAAACTTCCACGTGAAACAATCTCCCGATCTCTTGCATCTTCTTCGCATACACCGGCCAGTCCTCATATCATTGTCAATCACATCCAACTACATATTTTTCGGTCTTCCTTCTCCCCAACGTTTATTTGTATTACCATTCCTACCTGCTGCTCTCTCCCCGTGACATGCCCGTACCATCTTAGTATATTTTCTCTCATTTTATATAATAGTCATTAACATTGTAAAGGAGATTATAAAAAGATGATGGAAATATGGCTCGATGATAAAAAAAAAAGGGTATTTGAGGAGGACCCTGGTGAAAGTATGCTAATGGAAGGAATGCGATAAAAAGTGATGCAATGTTTTAGTGGAACCAAACAGTCAATAGAGGGAAATGACAAATAAGGTCAGAGATTAAAGATAGATGGTAATATCATGTAAATAAAAAGGTCGAAATTTAAGTGTGGGCACCAATATAAAATTTTAAAATCAAGTTTGAAATAGGGTCACAGACCCCCGTCTGTACGCCTATTGATTCGAGATTTTGTCTGTGTAATTTGTTATTTTTTGATAACAAACGATTTTATAAAAACTTGGGATTCTATAAAAATGTTATTAGCGTACACGGTGTGAACGTATTGGAGTGTTTTCACTATTTTCCGGGAGAAAAAAAAAGGTACTTTGGTAAAACTATATATTAATATTAGTTTTGTGAGCTTTCTCGCTACATTTAAAATATAGACATGATATTTTTTCAATAAACAAAAAATCTGCGTTTAACAAAGTATACGGAAATTCTCATGGAGTTGAAAAGCTCATCAATTTACATCTACGTGATTTAAGTTATTTCATATTTTTGACAAACGAACTGGCGTTCAACTATCGTTTATAAATATTTTCATAGATATTTAATATTATATTATTTTCGCATTCGATTGACTAACGCAAACACATTGAATTACATTTATATACATTTAACATTAGGATAGTACTACGGTTTGTATAGATTTACGTATTATACTATATAGGATTACGCAACGTATTGGATCCATCGGACGTTTCACACCAAGTTTCTGTTCAAACACTTCCACAGTCTCCACCACCGGTACTTTCAACCTACACCATGGTCGGTGACAGCAATACACCCGTTCGAGATCACTCTCGTACAACTGTCCATGGTCGTACCCATCTTTATTTATCCGGTGCATTGGGGTAAGCGTATCTATATGTGCCTCGAAATTCACCCTTATTGGTACCCATTGGGTTGGGCAGTGACTTATCCATGAACAACACCGATTATTATTGTTTTTATATTATAAGTTAATATATTTGTCTCCGCTTACAGTGCCGTTTTACGGTTTGGCTTTGTACACGTATTATCACGGCATCATTCAACACTCGGGAATAAATTTCAAGGCACGACGGTGGCAACCCTGGCAACCGGATTCCATGTTCCACGACAATCATCATCAGTACTGTCACGTAAACTTCGGTTTCAATTGTTACATGTGGGACCAGGTTAAATTTAAACAGAAACTAAAAATATACTCAAGATTATTAAAAAAATGTCGGGTATTTTGTTTTCAGATTCACGGATCCGCGCGGAAACCGGATTGTTGTTATAACGAACGAACGGACGGCTGGGGTTCGGGCCGGCCCTTGGCAAGTCTGTCGGAAAATGATCTGCGCCTGGAAATTCGCGAGAGAGCTGCCGAGAATCCGAAGGCTTACCGGGATAACATGAACCCATACTCACTATTAGACGAATTCTCGACTACAGTGAAGACAAAGACTGTCGAATAATAAACTTTAAAAATCATTTCTGGGCAAAGTATACCATAAAAAATTTGTTGTTTGTTGAGTAATAATATTTGTTTTTATTTTATTTAGCATATTTATTTACAACTACTACATTATATTATACCTATTCTCTATTTAGTATATAAGTATATATTATTTAGGAAAAAAAAGACCGAAGTATTTTTCAACTATAATACCTACAATTCGTATATTTTCCCGTTTTTCCCCATTTGTTGAGAAAACTGCTGAGCAAAACGAAAAATGACCTTTCTTAAGTACCACTCCAAGAAAATTTTCTTTCAGGAAAGGGTCTACATCGTACATATCGGAGTAAGCTTTCTTGTAGAAAATAAAATTAAAAAAATAAATATCTTTTTAAAACCAATACATTATTCACTACACTCAGAATCTAAAATTTAACTATGATCTCTAAATTTCTTCGTATTTCTGTATATTTAAAAACATGATATGTAATGTAAAACAGAACTACTTTGTCATCATAAGGGCGGGCGCCAGCCAGGGTTCGGGAAGGAAAATGTTAGAGAAAATATTAACCCTGGCCCATTTCTGACACCGCCATTGCATTCAAATATTCTTAAATACTCATAATAAGCAGTATCAAATTCTAAATCAAACGGACCTACTTCGCACGTGGGTGCAGCCACTGTTGGGAAGATAGGATACAGAAGGGAATTTAATGTATATCTTTAAACAACGATAAACTATTGCTTACGAAAGCGGATACTGGGGACGAGTGTAGCCACTTTTGTAAGTGAGTAGTTGGGAAGGTGGGATACATAACGTTAATTAATTAATACCTGTAACCTAAACGATTTGGGACAAAGTTCAGTTATACTCTATTTTGAAAGGCCGTAATATTTCAATAAAAAATGTAATAATTTTAATAATAATAATCAAATCAGAATCATAATAATCATCAATACTTTTAATAATATTAATCAACTATAATCATAATCAGTATATTAATAACAATCATCAATCATAATAATAATCATCAATAAACATCATAATCACAATTATAATAAGAGTAATAATAATAATAAGAATAATGGTATTATTAATGATAATAAGCATTTTAAAAACCATAATTATAATCAGCGTTTTAATAAGAAGCATAATAAGCAGCAATAATAAATGTAATGATCATTTAAATTATTATTGATTATTGATTATAATATTTGTTGATGATTATTATTATCCTGTTTGTTATTATTATGATGATTATTATTATTGTTGATTAATATTATTAAAGGTTTGAATGATTATTGCAATGCTGATTTGATTATTATTAATAGTTTGTTTATAGTTGTTATAAATAATCTGCAAAACTCTCTTTTTGGATTTACAAGTTGTCAGCTAAGGAGAAATGTTGCAGATATAATGTTCTTATTTGATTTTCTAAACGGTTTTATTTGATTTCCCGAAATTGCTGTCTAAAATTGGTTTTAAAACACCAAATCGCTGTTTGAGAAAATCTATATTGTTTCATGTAACATTTTATAAAAATAACTACAATTTTACATCTTTTTTCCTTAGAGCTCTTTCATTAAGTTATGCTATGCTGATCGCACAGATATTTTATCTATGTCACGTGATTTTTTTTTAAACAAAATGTATATTTAGGTTTAAATACAGTACAAATTTGAATGCTGTGTTATTAATAAGATTAAATTAAAAATTGTTTTTTTCTTTTGCGATTATTGATACTGTTGCTATATTGCTCTAATTTGTAATCTTTATCTTTTTCTTTTGTTCAAATTTTTTTTTTATTATAGTTTCTTTTAACAGTGTTTAAATTATAATTTACACTTACTGTATTATTTTCCAAAGGTTCTTTTTGACCCGTTTATAGTAAATAAAATAAAATAATTTATAATATGATGATTATTATTGATGATTATGAATATGATTTTTAAGTGCTCATTATTATTATTATTAATACCCTTATTAAAATGATGATTATGATTATTGTTGATTTTTTATTAAAATATTGATTGCACGAAAACAAAATCTAAAATGTGCATGAAAAAATGTTAAATATACAAAAAAATTATTCAGATTATTATTCAAAAACATAGTGTCATTAATATGCACAGAAAAAATAAAGATTAAATATGAATCGCACCGTTTTCATTAAATTAATAACAGACTGAAGCGGTAAGAAATAACAATAAAAAATTACCTTAAATAATATTGAGTTTTAAATTTAACATTATTTGAAATAAATTGATTAAGAAAGGAAAAAATCACTTTTATTATAAAAATCGACGAAATATTTACTTTTTCTCTAAAATTAACGAAATATGCAAAATATAAATTTTAAATGTTTTATATGTTGTATAAGTTAAACTCTTCTTCGTATAAAAATGATTTCTAGCGTGGTCTGCTATAAATTCAGTGCATATAAAAAAATATGCAGCTCATATAACTCCCGAGTCCTAATTATCATAAATATTGTAATCCATTATTCTCGTTAATATGCGTACAATTATTATTGTTTAAATGCTGTATATTACAATTTGGTGATAATTTTTACTATAATAATTAAATTAAAAAAGACGGACATACTTCGCACGTTGATGTAGACTACTGTTGTAGGGAGGAAGTTGGGAAGATAGGATACAGACGAGAATTTAATGTATATCTGTAAGCAACGATAAACCATTACTAACGAAAAAACGATTCTGAGCGGAGTTCAGTTGATAGTGTTGCTTTGTCAACAATATATATATATATATATGTCATATCATGGGAAAATTATTACAACAATATGCGTTTCTATGACAACAATGATTGTTTAAAAAAAATTAAAATAATAAAAAATAAATAAAAACGGTTGCTAAGAACAACCATTTTTTAATCTTTTAATCTTTTTTAACCTAAAGAATCATGTTTCCCTCATTATCTCGAATATTAATGAGACTTTCAAAAATGACCTCTCTAAAGTACCACCCAGAGACCATTTCCTTTCAGAAAAGGTGCTATACTTGATAATAGGAGCAAGCTTTCTGATAGAAAAAGTGTTCAAATAAAAAAATAATAATAATAATAAACATCATTGTAAAACCAGTATATTCCTCGCTCCCCTCAGAATCTAAAATAATTGCCGAAAACACAGACATTCTTCGCACGATGTGTAGGCCACTGTTGTAGGTTATAAGTTTGGAAGATAGGATCTAAAGAGGAATTTAATGAATCTGCGCGCAATGATTAATCTTTGCCAACGAAATATGTATAAAAGGTCTTATATTTACAATTTTCGTAAAAATTTGATATGAAAATTCTTATAAGAAAAATATGTATTTATATATATATATATTACATTTAACTCAACTTTTTCTTGTTGACCACTAAGTACGACATATATTGAGCCTCCTGTTTTTATGAATTTAAAATTATAAAAGCATTATTTTCGTAAATCGTTTCATTTATTCCAGGTTTTTTTCCATTTATTATAAAAAAAACCCCCTAGGAAATTCAAAAAATGAAAAAAAAATATAATCATACATTTACTCGAAAATATATAATCTTATTTCACCATGCTATATCTAGTGATCTAGAAGATATTCTCTTTATCGGGCTAGTGATCAACAATTGTACTAGTAATCCTATCAGTTAATGTAATATCTATGTTTTCCCACCGAACGCCTGATAAATAAAATAAAATCATAGAACATAACTTCAAATATTTTTTCCAATATTTCTTCGTCTGGAAATTTTGGTCAAATCCATTCGCGAGCCCATAACAGAACTCAAACGGAAATAAACTTCGATTTATTATGTAAACCTATGTCGGGTATGTTAGAAGAAAAAAAATAAAAGCAATTTTTCAATGAATTTTATTTTTTCTGTGATAGTGGATGAATTTCGGTTTTTCGTCTCGATTTAAACAATTTGTTTTCAAAATTGTGATTCGTTTCTGCTGACATTATTATTATTGCGTACAATAATATCGTATATATTTTTATACATATAGAGTTTCTATGTGGTATCTGCTGCTGATTCAGACGTCGTTGTCATGTTCAGGTATTTTTCCTTCTTATTTCTTATTTTTTATTTTTCTAATAAAATAAATCACACAACAATTTATTTGTCTCTCCTCTCGTTCTTTGTCGTCTGATTTAAGAGCCGCGCCGCAGTACGTTAAATATGTCAAATGTCACAACTATAGTGTTCGACGCTGTAGAAGGAAATAAATAATAAAAAAAAAAAAAAACATATAAGCAGGTAATAATATTAAAAAAAATCCTGTTCGCGATATCGTTAGTAATAATTAAATTTCATCGCAGTGAACCGGCGTTATAACGGTGCAATATTAATTAATATCCTTAGTGCAGCATTTTGTGTCTCGTCAGAAATTTTTTATTTTTATACACTTCTCGAAAACAAAACAAAAATTTTAAAATGTAATAAATAAATTTTATAAACCATGTATTTATAAACTACAATGTGAATGTAATAAAATATATATAAATAGAACAGATAGAAACTTTAAAACCAAAGTCAAAGAACATACATCTGAAATTAGATTAAAAAGAGAAAATCCCAAATCTAACTTTGCCAAACATGTTTTAAAAGGTAACCACAGCATCACAAATAACATTAAAAAATATTTATCAATAATCTACACACAAAAAAAATAAATGTACAAAATAAATTGCCTATCTATGACCCTTCTCTACTCCTCCGGTCTAAACTTTAAACTATTATAACTCATAAACGGTAAATCTGATATTAGTGTGATGCACATAAAAATTTCTAGAAAAATATTCTCTATTCAAATATGTGTTCAAAAGTGGGGTTCCTATTTGCAAATCAAAAGTGTGCACTTATTTAGTGTACATAGAGTCGAAATAAATAAATTAAAAACGGCCTTAAAATAAAGCTTAATAATTCCATAATGATTAGAAAAAACAGAAATCAAATTCACTTCAAATCCTCTGAGACGATTTTTGGTTCATGATAAAAAAATCACTCTGTAT